GACGAACCGATTTTGCCACTGATCCCAAAAGCTTTGCCCGGTTTGCACCTTCACGTGCGCGGTGAGCTTGGCTAGCTGCACAATTTCTTGCACGTCTACGTCGTGCACCTGGGAGCTAGTGTAGTCGGACGACAACACGTGCGGCCGCACTATGCCAGCAAAGGCCTCGCCGTTGACTTCATGCACGCTGGCCGCTTCAGGTGTGGCATGTTTTTTCTGCCCTCCGCCGCTTTGGTCGGCTTCCTCCGGCGCCATCGAGGCGGCCTCCATGGTCACCGGCGACACTTCGTCTTTGCCGTACCTGCTGAACACTCGCTGCTTCAAGCTTTCTTTGAGTGCGGCTTTGTCTGCCCATGCCTCACACATGGGATGTCCGCTGTCGATCAGGTGCTCCAACAACCTCACGACGATCCACGGGCGCAGCTTTGCACCAGCCACCCACTCCACGATCTCGGCGTGCCGCATGCCCTTGATTGTCAACTTCATCATGGTGTTGAGCACCGGGACTGCGTGCGGCAGCTGATGCAGCACAGCCTCCGCCCCCAAGCGGTGGAGACTGCCGTAGATCTCCTCCCAAGGCATGCTGAAGGAGCTAACATTGCCTCGCACGGCCACGCGGAAGTCGCTGCGATGCAGCTCCTCCTCCATCAGGTGCCCGCGATCTTCCTCTATATAGAAACTCACCACGGACGTCCACACGGGACATGCTGCCGCGGCCTCAATCCACCGCACCTTTTCTTGATATAAGAAATTCAGAGGATACCCGTACCAGTTGTCATTGGCAAGAGCTTGCGGGACTTGCGGGCACGTGCTCTGCCGCAACCGGCTCCAGCATGTCCGGCACAGTGGCAGCTTGCACTCAGCGCACAGTTGCTCTTGCGTGGCTGGACACGCGGCACACACGCGGTCTTCTGGGCAGCACAGAATTCGCTGCCCCTCAAACAGATCGGGCGGCAGCGACAGCTGCCAATCCTGCTCCGGAAGCCGATCTCTCACGGCCGCGTGCTCGCCGTACTTGCGAATGTACTCTGTCAAGCTCCAGTTCGCGGCAAAGCTCTCGGCTGACACGGTTGTGAACAGCTCGCGCACTGACACGTATCCTACGTTGCCATTAGGACCTCCAGGCTGCACTGCCGCGCAACAGGCGCACACCAAGGCCACGCAGTGCTCCTCGCGCCTCTCCTGTCGGAGACGGCGTAGCGTGCGCCGATCCACACTCCAGCCCACTGCAGGCACGGATGCCTCCTCTCGGCAAACAAGGGCTCGCATGTACCGGCTCTTGGCCTGCCACCACTCCTGCCCTGGCTGGCCGGCACACAGGCTGTCCCAGTGGCACGCGGCCAAGTGAGCCCAGAGACACGTGTTCGCCTTGCCGCAGCAGGTGCCACTCAGGCGAGTCCAGTGTAAGTCTGGCACCACCCACGCTCCAGCGTGCCCCGAGGCCTCTTGACACGGCTGCATCTCGCTGCACCAAGCGCAGCCTGCAAACGCGCAATGCACGGCGGGGTAGACTATTCCTGAGGCAGGCGCGGACATGCTGGCACTCCAGGCCGGGAGCGGCGGCGGCAGCAGCGGCGTCGGCCGCAGCAGGGATGCCACTTGCTCGGCAAGGTGGACGTCTGTGTCTTCCAGGGTGGTCCACGTCTTGCTGGCTTCCACCGCCACCGGGCCAAGCTCTTCAGCTTCGTCGCTGGCATCCTGCGAGTCCCACGACTGCACACTATCGGTTTCCATCTCTATTTTGTCAGAGTTTTTGTCTGACAAGGGCACGTCCCTGTTGGTTTCTGGCTCGGACCAGACGTCCGCCTCCGCTTCAGGAATTGGAGCATGGATGCGCTCGGGCCGCCTTGGCACACTATCGGTTTCCATGTCTATTTTGTCAGAGTTTTTGTCTGACAAGACCACGTCACTGTTGGTTTCTGGCTCGGACCAGACGTCCGCCTCCGCTTCAGGAATTGGAGCATGGATGCGCTCGGGCCGCCTTAGCATGCCTAGCACTTCCCACATGGCTTCACTGCCGCCTTCGGCCCACCGCCTCACCCAAGGTGTCCGCGCAAACGGCTGCGGAGACACGGCATCGGTCCCGAGCAGATCATAGTGCCCCACGTTGCCGATCTCTCGGTGCAGCAGCTGCAGCACGGTCGGGAGCCGAGCCACTGCCGTCCGGCATTCTTCGTCCGTGACACGAGTCTGAGTTCGTGCCCAGTAGTTCGCGTCAGGGACGCCGCTCCATACTATAGCATCGAAGTCGAACTGCTGGGTGAGCGCCCACAATTCTGCGCTGGTCCCATGATGGAAGGAGTCCAGACCGTTAGGCTGCTCCACCACAGCCAGCACCTTACTCCACAGCACCAGCTTGGCGTCTGGAACCTGTGCCTCCACGCCACCGCGCCGTCGAACGAAGTCTCGGTGTCGCTCCAACTCCGCCTCCGTTTCTGGCACGCAAGCTGCTTCAGTTGCTGCGGCATCTGGTCCAGCCAGCGCCGCCCACAGCCACTCTAGCGCCTGCAAGTAGATCTCCGCTGCAGCACGCAGACACCAGCGCGGCCTAGCACCTTCTCCAGGCCTGGCCCCGTACCTTGCCACCGCATGGAAGAGGCACCAGCCATCTCCAGGAACTGCCACGACTACACCCCCGGCTCTGTGCCCAGCCCCACTTGCCATGCGCTGCTAAATCACTTACCAGCGCCCCATGGGCAACTGTCACCAGCCTGCAGCTCCTTGTCCGCCCCGCGGGCAACTTTCCCCTTCTTCCGGCGCTAGACCGTGCGTGATGCTTGACTCATGTGGCTGAAGCCTGTTGGCGTGTTTCGGGCGCGGCCCCAGCTGTCTAACAGTTTGGACAAGTCTGAGCTGCGAGCTGCAATTGCTGCGAGAGAAGCACCGCAAGTCGGCCCTGCCTTTGTGAGTAATAATGCGCAACATGTGACATTCCCAAGGTGTTTTCATATTCTTTTTTTCGTGTCTTACAGTGAAAGAGTCGCGCCACGTTCAGGTGAAACCAGACTATTGAAACAACCCTCAACGACAGGTGTGTTTGCGGCGCTTTGCTTGGCTGCAACGGTTCGAGGGTTGGCTTGCCCGCAGAGCTGGTTTCCAACTACCTGGCGCCAAGCCAAGGGCTTGTTACTGAAGTGGACCTTGCTTCCTACTGTTGCTTTTTTTGACCCTTGTCAATAGCCTGCAAGGCTTTGCGAGAAAAAAAGTTCCATCGCAGCTAGTGCGACGAATCTGTTGTGTGATTGCTGCTAGTCCGACGTGGCTGTTGCGTGACGCATGTTGCTGCTTGAGCGACTAACGTTTTCAGAAGCTGCTGTGTGACACATGTTGCTGCTGATGCGACGAATGTTTTTGAAAGCTGCTGCGCGAGAAATGTTGCTGCTTCTGCGGCGAACGTCATCAAGAGCTGCCGCGTGAAACATGTTGCTGCAAGCACGATGAACATTATTGGTGGCTGCTATGTGAAACATGCTGCTGCTTGTGCAACGAACATTTTCAGGTGCTCCCTTGGCTTCACTCGGCCTCCCTTAAAACTGCCAAACTGCGCTTGCGAAATGCCTCGCGACGCTGTGCAGCGCGCGGTCAACTGATGCGGGGTGATCAATCTGCTTGTGCTGTCTGGCGTCCCTTAGCTTCACTCGGCTTCCCTTACAACTGCCAAACTGCTCTTGCAACATGCATGGCGACACTGCTGGCAGCTTGTGGAAGCGGGTGGAACACTGTTGGAGAATGGATGCATAATAATGTATGGAAGGGATGGTACTAGTGGAAAGTGGATGGAAGATGAATGGGCAATTGTGGATGATTGATGGCAACAAAAAAACAAAGTACACTACAGGAGGGGGCTCAAGTAACAGGAAAGGCAAGGACGTGCAGGGACTGGAAGTGCAGGAGCGGGCCTGACGGGCTGGCCCCCGCCCTCCTTCCACTTCTTTTTCGACTTGGAAGCACCCTGCGGGCAACTTTCCGGTAGATGACGAGTAGCGACTGAAGGGCAGTGAAACAGAGGACAGACTTCAAATGCAGGAAAATGAAGTGACAGGTCGGGAAACCTCCAACGGAAGCAACTGCGGCCTTTTCGGCTCTGACACCATGCGCACTCCCTGGCTGGCGCGACCATCGCCTTTTCTCCACGGCTGAAGCGGTATATGACTGAGAAGCGCCCTGTGGGCAACTTGCCGCCTCCTCCCGTTCGAGCGCGTTTGCAGTCGCGACTCCTGCTTCTTCTCCATGGTTGCAGAGGCACATGACTGAGAAGCGCCCTGGGGGCAACTTCCGCCCTGTTTCCGTTCTAGCGCGTGCATGCTGCTTCAACCTGCGCATGTGGGTTTAGCGTGTTGGCGCGCTTCTGTGGTTTTAGCTGTCGAGCAGTTTGCACAAGGCTTCGCGCTGGGGTGCTTACAGGGGGGAGGAATGCGACTACACGGCGCTCAAGAAAGTGCAGGGAGCTCAAACGCACAGGAAGCAAAAGGAAATGCCAAAGTTGCAAAAAAAACGCGCAAAGGAAGTGATGTTCAAATCTCGGCATCTCATCCGAATCAAAAGACAGGGAAGTGACAGAACAGGCAGGGCAGGGTGCCCGGTGGCCGGCTGTGTCGCGTCAGCGTGTAATAGATTCCCGTTAAAACCAACAAGGGAATTTCCAACAGATATTCATTTCAGCGCCAAGCTCCACTTGGCAAAGGGAGCCGTGCGGAAGATCAGCCAAGCATGAGCTGCGAACTGCCTCGACGCGATAAGGAAGCCGGAGACTGCTGCGGTGCGTTTTGCCCATGTCGTTCACAGGATTGAGACATCAAGTAACATGGCAACTCTGCACGTTCAACTAGTTGCAAAAGGAAACACCGGAAAGCGAACCAATTGTCGGGGTCTGCAACTCTAGCAGCACATTTCCGGACACGTCCATGATGGCTCAGTTCATCACTGTTCGCTAGCAGTTTTGGACGCCTCTGGCTATTCCGGCCCTCGAAAGTGGAACCGGGCTGTCTGGGACACCGCGCCGCCTTGCGGCTCATCTTGTCAGGTGCGGCGGCGAGGCCTGAATTTCAGGCGGCAAGTTCAGGAGAGGTTTGGTTCAAGTTGTGTAAAGATCCAACGCGGATGTGCTTGTGGTCGGACCCTATTGGAGGATTCAGTAGCAAAATTGGGAAACCAATGGGAACTGCGTCAATGCTTGCACTGGTGATTGGTCCGAGTGGGCAAGCACAAATTTCAGATTGATTCCCTCACCTGGCCTCTTTGCTCCTTCACATACTGGATCTTCTCCGCTTGGTCCTCCGAACACTGGCATCGGCAGGGCCAATTGGGTCCATCAAAAGTCTCAGAAGCAAACCCGTCTTTGGCAACCCTGCCACACGGTCGGTTTGCTCAGCCCACATGCAAGTCCCAGCGATAAACAGCGCGGAGCTGCATGGATGTTTAAGCCACATTGTTAGCAATGTTGGCATTCGAAAGAGACAAGAACTTGCAAAGCAAATCCTCGCAGATCTTTCACCTTCCATCTCCGATTTCTTCAATGGTAGGAAAACAACCTTCACTCAGCACGCGCTTCGAAAGCGTCCTTGTCATTCATGGAGTCCACAAACCTGAGCGACAGGATGCTTTGGAGCCGTGGCCGCGGCCCTGCTAGCCAGCCATCTCAAGCTCAAGAAGTTCATATGTGTGGCCATGGGTCAAAATCCAAATCGTACCCCCAGTCACTAAAATAGACTAAAATGGGTGGTGCACCTACCCCAAAATGGGTACCATTGGTTTTGACCCACAGCCATGTCGTACAACCAGTGTGACACTCTGGCGGTCGGCCATCGGCCGCTCTGTTTCCCTCAATGGGATTTATGAAGCAATCCTGCTCAAGGGCTGATGATTACCCCTCAGTGACTCATCAACCTTGGGAGGACAAAACAACAGCCTTTCGTTGGGAGCGAGATACCGGTGTCTGACAAGATCAAGCCCAATATGGATACGTGACACAGAGGGCCACAGAACATCACAGAACGACGACATCAACATTGCCCAAACCCGCTGCTGACTTTTCAAGGGGCTGGACGATTCTCCAGTGCGCATGTTTGCCACTTCTTCGCCCGCAAATCTTAGCTTGTGAGCAGTCCCAAGGCGTGAAAAGTTGGTTCCAAGGCTACAAGGGTACAGGCCCTCTATCTATCTGTGTTTGCAACCAGGTGCCCCAAAACCAAGCCAGTTTCAACAAGCACACACACACACAGCCACCACCACCAGTCTAACTTTGACCAAGGCTAACAGCCAAAAGCACAGCCCGAAAAAACCCACCAGGGAGTATTTGAAACCGGCTCCTCTTTCGCGAGGTCGGAGCGCGCCTCTCATAGGTCAGGTCCCGGTCGCCCGAGCGCCTTGGACGGCGAGTTGGGCTGATGCGAAGTGGACGCCTCACTTGAGGATATGCTGCTGATAGATGCTGACATACCTGGGTAGTGTATGATCTGGATTTTCGAGCTGTGTGCTTTTGCAGAACCCTAACAAACATGGTGTGGATGTTGGCAAACAACTACATGCAAATGCACAGAAGCGAACAACCGAAAACCATGGCCAGTGAGGGGATGCTGCAATCAAACTTCTCCACTCAGCTTTTGGGAGTCGCAGCCAAGCCCAGGAGCCAACTCAGCTCAGCTATGAAAGCCTGCAAACTGATTTCCAGTTGCGCCGTTGCGCTATGCTGCGCTGGGGCCCTGGTAGCCAAAGGGATCTTACCAAAATAGATCTTACCAAACAAAAGGAACAAAGGGTGCCGCTGATTGGGACGTCGATGAAGTGACCGTCCTGGAGGGCCTCCTCTGAAGCCGGCACAAAGTGACGCCGAGTTCCCAAAAGCACCATGTACCCATGTGCCTTCTTCTTGACCTGCGGTTGGCCCTTCTCCTTTTGAAATCTTCTGCGTCTCTCTCTCCTTTGGTCACCTAGTCGCCTACCAAAAACACAACGAGGCCCCGTGCATCTTCACGAGCTCGCGCACCTGAAGACTGAGGACGGATCCGATTTGGTCAGGGAAAATGAGATGTCTGATTCGCGCAACGGCGGCAATGGCTACCCTTGCTATGGCTCATCAGTATAATATGGCCATGGGTCAAAAGCCTGGTTACCCCCCAGTGAACATCCCAATCCCCACTAAAAATAGGTTCTAAAATGGGTGGTGCACCTACCCCAAAATGGTACCATTGGTTTTGACCCACAGCCATATGATTGGGTTCGCCAGCAGAAAGGACCATTCTGCCCATTGAGCTGTAAGGGATGGAGAAGATACAATTCGACGTGAAGTAGTCCTGGATATGGGTCAACATGTTTTGGACCCACGGGTTCCTCTCCCTTGACAGTTTCCTTGATGTCTCCTTTGACGTACTGTGGGTGGACGAAATCCTGCACCACCAAAGAAACCCTAAAATGATGATTCCCCTGTAAAAACCAGCAACGAATTGGATTCCCATGGTTTCAAAGTGATGCAGGATTCCGTCCGTCCACAGTATGTGGTTCTGGTCAAAGATGGGGAACCTGTGGTTTCGCGATGAGCGAAACCAACACAAACTGGCAAACAAAGATAACTGTTGCAACAGAAGCCAAATGCAAATTGGGGCTGCGCCTTGGGTGTGGCTGGTGGCAAGTCATTCCACCTAGGCAGGCCTGGGAGCTTTCAACAACTGACAAAAAGTTTTGACGTTTGTTAGAGTGTTATGAAATGTTTCGTGGTTGTCATGGCGATGCACATTGCTGTGGCTTCGTGGCACGGTAGCCAGTATGGGAATGTTGCACTTTGTGCACATTTCCTAGAATGCATTTGCCAGCTCATACAAACATCTTTGCTTGTTTAGGCTCAATGGGGTGGGGAAAAGTCTACCTTTGGCCAGTGCACCAAGCATAGCCTGGCTTTTTCCTGGCAAGGAGCCGTAATGCGCTGTGTTTTCAACAAACCAGTCAACAAGGGTCTTACTATTTCGGAGCCAAGTGGCAGGACACTTTGCAGTTTCTTGCTCGTAAATGTTGGACGAGCCGGGTGTGTAGCACGCTAAGTTGCTAGCACTGTCTTAGCTCCGCTCGGTTTTGCTTTTCGCCTTTGGACAACTTTGCTGCTGTTCTACCTGCCTTCCTTACTTCTCCACTTTCCAGGCTTCATTCATGTCCCATTCATGTTGGTGGGAGGCAACCGTCAGCCCTTCCGTTTTCGATTCCAATCAGGAACATCAGTAGATCGTTTCACTGCGTACCTTGGTTCTTTGTCGGGGTCGGATTCAACCAGCCAATCGTTCATGGCACGAGAAGCGGACACTCGAGTTTTGCTACGCAGGGTGTGTCCAAACTTGGGACCCCTGTCGATGTCCTTTTGATGTCCATTTTGAAACTTTAGGAAACACACGTGTTTTAGCCTTCCCGTGGCTCTCCTTGCGGTGGTTCTGACTTGGCATTGGACCAAAGCAGCCTGATACTGAGGATGGACAAAATCCTGCACCACGTTGAAACCATGGGAAACCATAGTTTGTTGGTATTCACAGGGGAATCATCGTTCCAGGGTTTCTTAGGTGCAGGATTTCGTCCATCCACAGTATCACACAATGAATAAACCAGCGTCGTTGCTCAGCCTTCCCAGCACTTGCAACACCAACAGAAACACATGCTCCGTGTATGACATGGCATGCAAACTGATGCAGCAGCAAATCGCTGGTTGTTCATCAATGACCAATGTGTGCACATTCATTCAACGTGTTTTGTGTTACACGCTTCTCTATACAGGTACGTAGAGACGTGTGCTGTGCGTATGCATATACATGTATTCATTGTATATTAATATTAATATATATATATATATATATTATACATAATCGTTTGTGCATGTGTTGCACTTGAATGCTGATATAAATCCACATGCACGCATTCACGCGCATACGCATAAAATGTGTGCGTGTACACACGTCGATGCAAATCTAGGTACAAATGTATGTTGATAGATCAGTCCAACATCCTGCCTCCACCGAGTAGAAGAGCTCACTGCCCTTGAGAGCCTTCACTGCGCAGAAGGTCCAAATGAGGCGGTCGATCCTAGGCACAGCGTGCCAAAAGAGACATCCGAGGAGGTCAACACGCCGGGGTTGACATGCATGGGGTTGTCTTTTCCTTGGTGGGTGATCTTTTAGCCCCCACCCCCCCCCACCCTTTGGTCCTTTTTGCATGGGCAAGCAATAGCATGCCATGCCTGATTTTGTGGTGGGGTAAGACATCCACTCAAAAGAAACAAATGGGGCAAGCCCTGCAAGGTGTTGAAAGGCTCGAGCTGAGAAAGCCGTGGTTCGAGGGCACGCGACGAAGGTGTGACACTTAGAGGTTTGCAGCATTTGTTGACTGCCTAGCCTGCAGAGAGTAGAAAATGCTTCGTAATTTGAATACCGCCAACCATCGCCACCGCCCCCATCATCGCTATATACTGTTATCGGCACCGCCAGCATCAGCATCATAATCATCACCAGCACCAAAATCAGCACCAGCACCGGCACCGGCGCCAGCGCCAGCGCCAGCACCAGCACCAGCACAATCACTATTATTATTATTATCATCAACAACATCGGCATCATCATCATCGGCATCATCATCATCATCATGATCATCATCATCATCATCATCATCATCACGCGAAGAGCCTGGCTTGATTCCTCGGTGGGTGCCTCTTGAAGTGAGGATTCACTTTCCTTGGTAACACAGTGAAATGATACATCGGGTTCTCAATCCGGGCTCTCATTGCAAAGGAGCTCCTCTTAGAAAAAACAAGTATTGACCCCTACACAATCTTCCACGAGGGCCCCAACCAGAAATCATATCAAGCAGGGCCGTCCACCTTGCCTGGACTCAAAGTTCAGATGAAGTACTGATTTGGATAGTGAATCTTTGAACAGCCTTTCGAAACAGGGGTCACTGGATTTCCCCTTTAAAAGTTGCAAGTTCTTTGCGGTCCATGGAAACTGCTACTTTTGGAGATTCCAAAAGTGGGGAAGGGAGGAACCCCTCCAAAAACATGCTTGGTTGGGACACTGTGATTGTGCGCAAAGAATTCGCGAGCTTCAAAGGAAGTTAGCCCTTCTGCGCTGTGTCTGTCATTCCCCAGAAACGCGTGGAATTTTCAGGCCCCGGCCAGAGTATCTTCGTTTGATACCAGAAGTCGTTGAGCAGCGGATTCCATGTGATCGGCTCCTGCTCCAACCCATAGGAAAACCAAGTCCTTCCAACTGAGGAAACAAACAGAACCTACATGGCTGTGGCTCAAAATTCAAGAGTCGGGGTTACGCAGGTTTTGGTCCTTGTTTCCATTTACCAAGGGGCCATTTTGGGAATTCCATTTTCTGAGCCACATACCAAGATACCAAGTTGCCCAGCGAGAAGCCTTTCACAAACCAACTCGAAGCTAAACCGGAAACGCTTCAATCGAGCAAGTGCTGGGGGCTCTTGGCATAGGCGTACTTTTAGGGGAAATAGATTGTTTTCCCTGATAAATGAGAAAAAACACCAGGTAAACCAGGGCCATCGGCCATCTACTTTTCGAGCAAAACAACCAAAAAGGACATCTCTGGTTCTTGGGCCTCCAAGGTGCGAGGGGAAAATCACTTCGCAGCATGGGCACAGCTTCATGGCTCATTTGGTGGCTTCTTCCAAGGTCTGTCTTATCACTTCCGAAGGTCGGGACTCCGGACATGCCAAAATATTCCCAAGCATGGCGTTGTTCAAAATGAGGAAGGAATCCTTAATTAATCCTAATCTGCAATTTGTGGGGACACCAAAATACAACAAGGGCAAACCACTACTGTCTGGCATATGGACAAGCATTTCATTTTGAACCCAAAATCCTCCAACTGCTTTTGCCTGCCGCAAAGCTATAAGCAAACCGTCAACAGCAACAAACAAACGCGACACAGTCGCAAACGTAGGCGAGTTCGCCTGGTCAGCACCTATAGACAACAAAACACTGATATAAGCACAACACACAAACCCAAGCAGCTGACACTATTGTTCAGTCCATGCAGAATGCTAAAACAAAACACACAAAACACGAACCCAGCAAGCTCTTCAGTCTATGTACGCCAGGCGATTTGTTGGATTTTTGCCTATGGATTTCTGAAGCCTGCTACAAGCGACTGAAAAAGCCGTCGTCAAAAGCGCAACCTCCCAACTTCACTCCGCACAAACCCCAGAGCCCTTTACCGCTCGCTCCGGCGGCGGCAGGCGTCCCCGGCGCAGGCCTCATATGGTGCACCCGGTTTGAGCGAGAGCAGAACCGAGCGGACCCCGTGCGGTTCGACAAACCAGCATGAAACCAACCATGTGGGCTACCAATTCTGACATACTCCAATATGCAGTCAAAACCCCTGGGTCCAAACCCATTTGGTTGCATACACATTCTACCTGGGTCCCACAGGCCCCTTTCATCGGATTGTCCCAGCCTGGCGCGAAGGCTCATGTTCGCGTGGTTTCCAAAACTTGGAGTCCCCTCCCCCACCTCGAAAGCCAAAGGCTTGATTGCGGTCCATATGATGCTGGAGTATGCTGAGTTTATGTTGTGTCAAAAGGCTCACAAGGAATGTTCAGAAGATATCCTTTCTTGCCTGAACTACCTTGCTAATTATTCAATTACCATGATCATCCCCATCCCATCCTCTGTCCACTTTCCAGGGTCATTGCTTCCCTTCGTGGAAACCCTTATGACGGTACTCTAGATTCCCTATCTCCACAACCATCCTGACCCCAAGTCGAGTCTCTTCACCTGGCACTCGCCCCCCGTGGAACACCTCTCCGACGAACCGAGCCCGGGCGCCGCACGTTCGCGCCACCGCCGCTCCCAGGGCAAATACTGCAACTTCATCAGCTGCTTCTCGGATGGCCAAAAGTTCCTCGGGGTCTCGAACAGCCCGCAGCCAGAGGTTGGGGATGGTCCCAAGCCAAGTACCATGCCTTCAGATAGACAATCTTCAGGGTGCAAGTGGCGATGAGACCAAAAAACATCGCCAGTGCCACACCAAAACACACAAGATGCTTGGGGGGGGCCATGGCACACACTCATCCAGGCAGAACTGGGTTGAGGGGCAAAAGGTCTGCGAAAAGAGCAGCTCCAAGACATCCTGCGGTCACTAACCAACAGGGGAGCAAAAGATGGCTCCTGAGTTCAGTCAAAGGCTTGTGGTTCCTGCTACACCGCCCAACTAATTAGCCTCGGAAAGGAATCCAGTTTAATGAGCCCCAAGAATGAGCCTCAACAGACCATTCCCAAAGACGCAACTGTTGTTGGCCTTTTGGGTCATTCTTGATGTTGACGCAAGAGGAGTAAGCCCCCGGTTGATTGATAGGACGTGTCCCAGCTTAACGGAGGGATTCCTACGCGGAAACGTCCTTCTACTCCGCCTGGTTTGGTTGACGTTGGTACCCTTCCTATGGACGAAGGCCCTAGCAGGTTGCATCTTCCACAATCCAACCCAGATAGCAACCACAAATTTTCTGGAAAATGGGTGTGTCCACTGCCAACCTTGGCATTGCAAGTTTTCCCCGGCCCCTTCTGGTGAATCGACTTGGGAAATGGAAAGCACCCATCGCCCCAGGACGTGGTGGGTTGATTTTGGAAAGCTTCTCAGGCGAAGAGTCCAACGTCAGGAGCCCAGCGGCCCGGCGGCATTTCTCGCATCTGAGCCCGGCGCACGTCAGCCTTGTAGGCCCAGACCAGCAGGATGGTCCAGCCTATAGGCGAGAAGAGGCACTCAGATCAAAATGCGTCGTGCCGGTGCGCGCGCGTGACAAGCAGCATCAAACAGTTGCCACTTGAAGGCCGCCGAGCTTGGGCCAGCTTGCGCACCCAGTGACAACCCAAAACCAGACAATGCATCGCAGATCGGTGATCGAATAGAACGATAAGACACATACCACTGCCACCCAAATCATGTTCTCCAAGTTTATTCCTCATTTCCAGCATGCTTTGCACGCTGGCAAAGCCAAAGCTCCAGTGTGTGCAGCATCATTTGCCTGGAACAACCGCTCATCTTCTCTGGCCTGCATCGCATGTTTCCTGCAAGCCTTGATTACAGCCCCCATCTTCCGTCTCCTCTTCCAAAAGAGAGTGCTGGCATTTGTTTGTTTTGCAATGCAACCTTTGCACGACTCCTTGACTGGAGCTTTGGCTGCCGCTTTAGGGGATCAGTCCCGGCTCAATGGCAGACCAACAGTTGTGCTAGGCGTTGGAAAACCAGACTGAAACCAGTCCAACCATCCCTGGCGGAAGATGAATGCCTGCCAAACCAAGTGTGAAAATGGAAGCAAAAAGAAACCAAGCATCCGTAGGGATCCCCGGTTGCCCAAACAAGACTCTGCGCGAACGCAGAACCCACCTCCCCAAAAAAGGCGTCCGGTCTCTGCGCGCGCGCGTCTTTTTCAACGCATCCTCGTCCTGGCAGGGGCTCAAAGTCGTGGGATCTAACGGAACCTCAGGAAACCTCCCAAGGCAGTAAGGGGCCGCAAGGTTTGGTGAAACCAACGAGAAAGTTTATTGTTCATAAATGTCCTTTTCGAAAAAAATCAAACCCATCTAAACGGGCCGTGCCGATCTGGGTAAATCGCAGTTGCCAGTGAACACTATTGGCCAGCGCACTTGAGCACCTACAAACACGGCAAATGGAGCTTTGGGGGCGCTACTGAAGGAAGGGTCTGAGCTCGTGCATGCTTCCCCAACGGGGGCATTCCCAATTCCATTTGTCGTCTTCTATGGAAAACCCAAGGCCAGCCCGGTCCCCGAATTGCATCTTTCAGGGGTGTTGTTTTTCTCAAGGCGTGGTGAAAGTGAATGTCCGGCAACGGATTGACGAGTCAAAATCTTGAGAAAGAAGCCCCGAAGCCGCTGACAAACAATGTGGCCCACAGCCCGCCCGCCCGCCTCCAGAGAAAACGGGTGCGGCACCTCGATGGTCACCTTGAGAATACACGGCAAAGGGGTGCACAGTTCATGGGTGCTGAGGGCAGACACAAATGAGGAAAAGTGGTACACAACATATTCATTTTTCAGGAGTCGGCATGGTTCCGGATTGAATTTTGCTTCACTTGTTTCGCCTGAGCTGCCAAACGGCACCTGTGACACTGTTTGTCGGTCGGGCCTCCCCGTCTTCCAGCGGCAGCGTGAGGCTGGATGAGTGCAGGCAAAGCCTTCGCGCTGGCGCCGGGTGTTTACATTCACATTTATTCAAGGTGCCCTGCTTCAGTTTTTTTGTTCAAAAGGAAACTTCTAAGTTTGTTTGTTGTTCAAAGGGAAAACTCCTTTGATAGTTTTTGTTCAAAAGGAAACTCAGGGGAGAAAGCAAACACTTTTGGGGCCTCACTATGTTGAGATACACCTGCACTGAAGAATTCAAGAACTTAAGCACCCGGTCTGATTACTTGTTGCAGGCTCACACACACAAAGAAAAACAACATAACATGACAACCGCGCAAATTAGAAAGTCTCGTTTTTAAATTGGCGTTCTTAGCGAACCCCTTTGTGATGGCTGGCTGGCTGGCTGGCTGGCTGGCTGGCTGGCTGGCTGGCTGGCTGGCTGGCTGGCTGGCTGGCTGGCTGGCTGGCTGGCTGGCTGACTTATCTGGGAACAACTCCAGCTGGTGTCCTGGAATGACTCACTTATTGAGTTCTGATGCTTCAGTCAAGGCTAACTCCACCTACTCGTGTCGATTAAGTAATGCCTAAACCAACATCGGGGAAGTGTGCTATCTAATTCAACTGTACCCAGGCTGGTCGTTCATCCCTATCCGAGCAAGGAGGAGGCTTTCCCAATGAACTTCTTACATGGGCTAGCTTGTCACGACAAACCAGCCGTCCCTGGCAGTAGAGCATCGAGCCAGAGGTTCATTCAGATATGCCGTGTTTGGGTCAGTCCCATGGTACCCATCGCCAAGAAACGTTCATCGTGTCAGCTGGATTCACAACTAAAACCCGGTATTCAAATGGTCTACCCAGCTAACCATGTAAAGAAATGAAAAGGCGCCGCACCCATTTATGGCTGGGATTGTCCCTAACTACCCTCCACTTTCCCCGATTTTGATTGTGTCTCAGCTGGACTCCCTTAACAGCTTCTGTTCATGCCTGCGACCCAGACTGCCTCCAAGCTGAACACTGTTGCATGTCCGTTGGCAAACCCCCCCAAAAAAAAAAAACACTGGGTGAACTGGGGCATCCTCGCTCAAATAACCTGTTGGTGTCACGGCTGATGGACCGTGGGTGAAATATCAGTACTCAAGGCAAACCGCTGGAATTTTCAAGCAAACATTCCCCTGTAAGTCAACATAAAACCCAAAAAGGGGCGAGCCCCCCAGGAGGAGATTCCTCTACAAATGGCTTTCTTTTGGGCTCCATTTAATCTGCACACAGACCGAAGACGTTGGCGAACGCCCATTCCGAGCCTGTACCAATCAAGAGGGGAGCTGTTGCCGTACTCCTCATCACCTGCCGAAATATCGACCTAGCCCAAACCGACCTAGTGGCTCAGCGGCAAAACACATTCTTCAAGGCTGAAGCTCCAACCAAATAGGTACCAAGAAAGCGGGGAGGGCCATTGTCGTCGGCGTACTCTGCGGAGCTTCTCGCGGAACATGAGCCTATTTAAACGTAATTACACGCATTCAAACATGTTGAGAAATCGGGGTCCCACCCTGACAAAACCATGTGGCCAGTGCCATCAAATAGGCCCGCGTCTGCGTTTGCTTGGTGCGAAATGGAGCATCTGACCAAAAGCTGCTCTTGAATCGACCAACTCTGGGAAGGTGCGGTGTTTCAGCCATTTGCTCACTGATACCATTGCCCACAAACGAAAACCCACCGATCCCGATACCATTGCAACATGTTGCCTTTCAAGCCTGAGGCACACATCACATGGAGGTTGCTGAGGGCCATCAGGCCATCTTTCAGAAGCCTCTCTTGACAAACATGACAAAACAAAGTGGCAAATCTTGCCATCAACCGGGGGCAAGTTTCACTGGTCTTGTCCAACAGTTGCTTTCCTTTTGGAGGGCGCTGGGCTCTGTCCAACCAGCCACCCCACCCAGGCACACTTCAAAGCCAGGCCTATGATGGGATGCCCAGCCATAGCGAGATGCTGCCGGATCCTCACATATAATGACAAGAGGAAAAGTGCAGCTACATGAATGCAGCATCATCCTGACTCAAATTACGCGGTTTGGAATTATTAAACTGTCATGTTGGTTCCAGTCACCACTAAAATCACCTAAACAATTGGTGTTGCACTGGTCGGTCGTTCGGGCCAGCATCAAGAACAGGTCGTGCAAACACCAGGACAAAAATACGAGCACGGCGTGAGACAACATACTTCATTTTAGGATATACAGGCAAGCATCATGATACCAGGCCAGCCATGAACAACGTTTGCCGTATTCTGGAACACTCGCCTTGTCATCACTGGCGTTCCATCAGCGGCTGCATTCGTGGGCAAATAGCTGGCTCTTGTGGGAAGTCCAAGAAATAGAATCCAAATTGATATCCTGCTCCCCTCACATGCTCTGTATTCATCTGGATTCAATGACTGGCCCTTCTTGAAGTTTGCCGGAGTTGGTAAACGAGCACCCCTTGCCTAGGTTCAGTTGTCGATCCCGAAATTTGCTTTGGGCTTCTCCCTCTTATCTCACCTTCCTTTCGCCAAAATACCTACTTTACATGTCTTCAAATTACTACCCAGCCCAACACCCTTCGAGGTTTCCCCAAATGAGCAGTGACCCAACTAGGAAGGGTTCCCCAGCGGTTGCTCCAAGATTGATAAACCACAGCTTAGTTTCTTCCCCAACAGCTAAAAGCTTTGGAGTCTTTGCCCAGATTGGTTCTGGAGTGGTTTGGAGTGACTCTGGGGTTAAGGTTCCGGAAGGGTTTGGAAGGGTTCCGGAAGGGTTCCGGAAGGGGGAATACACCTGGGCATTGTTGAACCCTAACTCAACATTTGCCCAACAAGTGAAGTTTCAACCATCCAAAATGGACGCCATAAGGATCTGTCCTTTTTGAGGGTACCCTGGTGTTTTGGGTTTCAAAAAGTAAACCAAGCTGAAAAGCACCGTTTTGTTGGAGGTCCCCGCCAAAAAAACACAGACACACAAGGATCCCATGGGGGGGAGAGGCACTGAGCCACACCAATAACTTGGTTTCGCGGCTGGTGCGTGCGCCCCGTGGCCGGCCGCACTTCCAGCAATGCCACCGGCGCCGCAAAATCGCCCAGGCGGCCCTGCCGAAGGACCTGGCGATGGGAAGTCCTTGCTGAGAAGATGACTTTTTCAGCCGCAGGAGAAAACATCCCCAAGAAGGAGGAGGGTGGGTGGATCCGCACTCCATGTCTTCCCCCAAAACCGGGGAAGGGGGGTGGTACTGGGAAGATGGAAGCCACAAGTCAACATGACCGCTCACTTCCGATCGAGTGTTTTGGCCACAAAAACTCTGAAGTTCTTATTGACAATGATAAGCGCACCCGTTCAGTTTTGTTTTGCAGGTCAAAAGCTGTCCGAATCCAACATGACAACACATTCGTGGAGGATTTGCTATGTCCAGAAATCGTCCAATGGCAAAATTTCAATTTCCCGCTTAGCCGCAGAGATGAAGGCACACAAGCACAGGATACTGTACCAGGAGCCGGCGCCTTTTGCTTGAGAAGGCTTCCAGCTCAGATGGAGCGACAAACATGGGAGGCCACTTTTCAACCAACGAAGCCCTTTGTCATAGCGGTCATTGGACACGGCGCAAGCACCCCGCTGAAGACAACGAAAAAAACATGTACAAGGGCGACAAAGTGTCCTTTCTCACACGGGAGGTTGGCCTTGCCTGCAGTGCACGTAAATTTGTTGACCCACCCTGTTTTGGGGGAAGATTAGATAAATGGTGACTTCTTGAGTGCCCGGACTTTGAACTTCTTGGGTTTCCGTTTACACTCCACAAGAACCAACCCAAACCACCAATCGAAACCACCAACGAAGGCTGACCTGGATACTGGCGCCGGCACCAAAAAACAAACGAGGAAAACCAACAAAAAACCGGGGCGACGGTTTTCAACAACTCGCATCTGGTTTCTGCCCCGAATCTGCGCCCATGTGGCTGTGGGTGAAAACCCCTGGTACCCCTGGTGAACATCAAAATAGGTGGTACATGGGTGTTCCGCCCCCAAATGCAGCCATAGGTTATGCCCCATGGCCAAGTGTCCAAAACGGGAAACCCAAAAAAGGGACGGATATTTTTTGGGGGGCCGCCCAGGAAGCACCTAGGAAGGCCTCCCCCTCCCCATGGCACGCCTCTACCGCGGTCTCCGCCTCCTTGCCCTGCAGGGGCCAGGTGAAGGTCTCCCGGCGCCAGCGCGGCACGCCCCGCACCAAGGCGTGGTAGACCTTCTTCACCTCGCGCGCGCACGCGCGCGGGGCGTCTTGGGCTGGCGGGGTGTTGGGCAGGCTGGCCGCATTCTTTTAGCATGGTCAAAGTCACCCCCTAAGTGGGTTACAAGGAAACAACCCCACTTTCCGACTTTGATTAATTCCAGAAGCCGTCAAAATAATGACTCCAGGAAGGCGTCTGCGAAACTCGCAGGGAAGAACGTGTCCTGAGAAGTGCACAAATGAATGCAGGCAAGATATGACATGTGGCTGCCTCAACATCCCCATAGAACTGCAGGGAGTGAAAAAATGGTGGAGCATTGCAAGAAGCGGGAAATGTGTGTATCCATGCATGTGTATATGCATACATACAGCTATGCATATATATATATACATGTATATATATATATATACGCACGTGTATATGTATATGTCAGAATTTAGCCATCTAAAGAACCCGAGCAAACAGTACTGCTGCAACTCTTCCCTTACACTGAAGGACTGTTTTGGAGCAGTTCGCTCCGCCTTAGGGGTCCCGAAAGGGGGTCCGCCACTCCATGCCAGCTGCGTGCCACGTATCCAATCGTCCACAAAGCAGCCTTCGTCTGTCCCAAAATTGATGACACCGCATCCTGCCATAAAAGTTCAAGGAACCCTTTTTGGGGTGATTCACTTCGCAGGACACCGCCCAACAAACACTCGCAAAAGAAAACGGGCACAGTTGAGGCGCAACTGCTGCTAAGGACAGAATGCAGCAGTGCACATTTTCTTGTTGACGCTCTGCGGCAGAAGCTGCTATATTTAAAGCTTGATTACACATAATATCATTTATATATATATATATATATATTTCTATATATAATACACACATGCATTATGCACAATTTCTGGCTCATGCTTCCTCCACAGATCCCCGAATCCAAGTCGTGCCGCGCCTGACGGGTGGAGAACCATCGGAGGCTCAGCTGCGCACCCCGGGTGGTCTTGGCCAGCAGCAGCGCGCCTACCCGCGCGTGGTCTTGGCCAACCAAAGCCTTTTCTCTACAACAACCTTTTCCAACACAAAACAACGTTTTTGCCCCCTTCAAAAGAACTCTTATTCCCCTCGTGTGTGTCCCAATAGAGCGATGGTTGTTTCCCGTGAGATTCGCCCCTGTACGCCACAAGTTGGTTTGGCCCCATGGAAACCAAACCAAGTTCCTATTGACTAAATTGAGATTTGGATTATTGTTGTTAGCCCGGTTGCCAAAACCACAAAGGAAAGGACACTTGAAGGTCAGAAGATCGATTTACGCTTTAGGCAAGGGAGAAACATGGAGCCTGACTCGATCCTCACACGTTCTCCTTTCTCTTGTTTTACGACACCACTACAAGCAACATGGCTACCAGTCATTACCGTTTCATGAAACACCAACTAGAAAGCAGCTTGATGAATGCCGGTCCGCATAAGAATCAGGAACTTCTACAAGTATCGTTTGGGGCAAGCCGCTTGACGTTGGAAGGGGAGCAACAAATTATTGTTTAGCAGTTCAGCGGAGAATTCCCACTAAACCACAGTAAGCAAACATGTAAAATGGTTCCCAACAACAACCATGAAAACGTCGTGTCTCAGCTTCGGGCTCTTGAAGTAGCCCTTCCCGAGCCTGAGGTGCCATAGTCGAGGCGGTGGCAGAGCCGGCAGTCGACGTAGGTATCTGCGCAGGTCAGCTCGTGGCAAGATCCCTCCCCACCTTCAGGGTGAGGAAGTACGAGTCCGCCCGCACCAAACTCGACCAATGCCCTGATTGCAACACAAGTGCAACCAGCCAACTCAAGCCCTATCAACTTACTGAGTTTATTATTTATGTTTTTCTCTCTCTCTTTTTTTTGGGGAGGAAGTCCATTCGTCCCTGAGGCCTTGTTTCTGTTTTGGAGTCGGCTCGGGGAACTCATATCTTCATGAGGGAACTGGGAAACCCCCTCTATTGGTCCTCCTTTGGCTTCCTAGCAACCCCTAAAGATACCCGCAAAATCCCTCAAACCACTCAAATGGGGTCCAAAGGCAAGAGTCCTTCAAGAGGTGAGCAATCCCAAGTTTCCCAGAATGATCTAGGAACGTCATCACTCCATGTTGACCCCGGATCGGTGAATCTTGCAAATCAAGATTTGTGATTTCCCGTCCCCCGCCCAATCAGCCACTGGCTTCCCACGCCTGCACCAAAACTTGCCGGGGTCCAACCGGATCTGCCACCCAAAAGTGGTGGTTTTGGGTGGGTTCCCACGACAAAAATGCTGGTCTTGGTTCGGTTCATCTGCGAGAGGATTCGCCCCCCTCGCTTCGTTGGCCGTTTCGTCGCTGGGACCCGCCTTTGACCCACTCCACCAGGGGCACGTCCTTGGGAAGGCGCTTCCTGAATCGAATCGAACCGGGTCTCCCCGTAAGTGGCTTTTCACCGGCTCCCGCCTCACCGACGGCTTCAAAGGGAACCCCCGATGCGCCTGTTTCTGCAATTCCAGGTCCGGTCCAAGCTTTGGATCAAAGAGGGCAACGCGATTCATGTACAAACCACCTTTCCATTTTCTGAATGAACATCGGCCTGTCCAAAGGCGAGTTTAAACCCCAAGGCAAAATGCCGCCACTACCCGCCCCCTCCGCTCCCCCTGTGCCAAGTCAAAAAACGGTGCAGCCAGACGTCTTGTGGTAAAGCAGGCGGTTGAAGGGCTTCCTTAGCACCTGAGCTGCAACCGACCGCGAAAGCTGATGACGCCATGGGCTGCTTACACGTCGCCTATGGACATCACCCGAAAGAGAAACTAAAACCCATTTTGTTCTGTCCCAGAAGGTACGGTGTCATCTCTGAATTGGACCCGCTTTGGCTTGCATGTTCGTGGGAGGGAAGGCTCAAGGGTGTTTACTGAACTGATGCAAACACCAACACGAAGAGTCGAATGCGTGCCAAAGAAATCACCGTGCCATATTGATCAAAGGGGACCCGCTGGAAATGGATAGATTCCCAAATGTAAAGCCTTCCTCATTTGTCCAAAGAATCCCGAATCTGGGCATAACGGGTCAACCGTTTGGAACCGTGATGAAACGTGGACCAACATGGGACACTCAAGACGATTAGATTTGGGCTTATGTCAGCCCGCTTGTTTTGAATGATCAAACATGAAGAGCACAAATCAAGCAACGACTGTGCCCGAAACTCATTGACTCCTGGTTCTACCAGAATGATCAGAAAGGTTCATCTTGGCCCTACTTCAAACCATTTGAACCGGTCACCTGCAAAGTGTTGGGCTCTGCTCAGATGAGCCTTCCAGCCATTGCCTAGAAAAGCTGTGAAAGTTTCTGAGCTGCTGCAACTTTTTAAAAAGCACAAGCCAGCCGTCCTTGTTCAACGCCAAGCTTAGGAATTAAACCCTTTCCATCATTACTCAAGCTGAAGGAACTGGCCCATCTTCAGGCGTCGGTTCTCAGGAATCGACAGCCACGATGTGGAGTGGGCAGGTGCAGCGAGCGTTTCCTATTCCCCGCACGTAAAGGACACAGAATGCAACTTGACCCAAAAGGTCACGCTTGAAGAACTGCCAAAGAGGGCACATATGGGTGGGCCCCCCCGAAAAAAAGGAAAAAACAGAAAAAAAAGGAGAACAAACAAGTGAACTTCCTGTGGTTTCCCTTTAAAACCACAAAAAGGGGTGGTATCAATGGACCAACTCCAAAAAGACGAGCCATCCATACGGCCGTTGGTCACTTTCTCTGCTGCATCTCAGCGGCAAAAAAGTCCTCGTTGGACCACACCTAGTCGACTTCTCTCGACTTCTCTCGACTGGTGAGGGGTTCAAACAGAAGCAATATGAGTTGGTCCTGGCGCAAAAGGGTAAGGAACATAGGCGTCCTTTTCGGGGAAATAAATGGCTCTGGTAGATGATTAAACCACCAGGTAAACCAGGGCCATCTATGGTAACGCAAGTATTCCAAAAAGCTTGCTCATGAAGGAAGGGGTTCATCTGTAGAGGGAGATCCAACATGATCCTCTGGTTCTGTTTGCAAAAGAAGGACATCTTAAACGGTGCTTGCCTATTTTGAAGTGACAATACGTCCCTTTAAAATCGAAGAAACAAATCCTTTTGTTTGCTGATTTTGAAGCGACCCCCCGCATCCCAAGGATCAGAATAGAAGCAGCTGTGACATTATCATTTCTTTCTGAAGAATCCAGCAACTGAAAATCTCACTGCACGCGAACACCCTGGAACTATGTCTGGGGATCCAAGCAGGCGCGCTCCGAGCTTTGACAGCTGGAGGCCATGCAGAAGCAATTGGACCGCAAGCAAAGGTGAGGACCAAAAAGGGTAGGGATACCATTTTTTGTTTTTTTGTGTGTGTTTTGTGTGTTGGTTGATGTTCAAGGGAAACCAACTACACAACGAAGGCAAAAGGACGGCACTGGGCAATTGCAGCTGATCTCCGAACAACAAAGGGCAAAAGCTCCAGCATACCCATACCCACCCATTCTATGTTTACAAAATTGCGACAGTCCCGAGTCTAAAACAAAGGAGTAGAGGATCTTCAAAGAAAGGATTTTGAGGGATGACAAAATTTGTATTTGTACCCCATGAATGAAAGGATGCATCACCCCCACGCGAGCTTGCCATAAAAAAGGCAGATGCATCTGTATCCCCATATAAACCACCTGGCATGATTCTCCGCTGAAGGTCAGGGAACTTTGGGGTTTCAAGTTGAAGGCCAGGTCCATCCGTACCATAAGGGGGAGGGGGGGTGGCTAGTCCGGGACCCAATTCCATTTATCTAGCCTTCGCCATAGGGACCTTTGGACAGCATCGCAGACTTTCCGGAAGAGGGTCACCGGATTTCCCCCAAATCGGAAGCTGCAAATTGGCCGGCGCTGTCCCCTGAAACTGCCACTTTGGGCCGTTCCAAGCAGGGAAACGGGGGGAAACAACGCGGGCGCGCGCCACGAGCCCCTCCATTCCGGCCTCCTGCGGGAGGAAGTCCCCAAGGCTCTCGGGGAACTTCTGGAAGATCTGCAGGCAATCTTTGCCTCAGGGTCAAAGCAACAAAACCCCAGCTGACGTCTGGTTCTAGCATGGCTATCAAGGTTTATCTACCCTTCACCAACATCATAATAATAATAGCAAAACAAACAACATGAGACCAGGTGGTCTTACTACTTACCACCTACATGGGCATTTGAATGGGTCCAAACAAGTGGAATGTCGGATGCTACACACGTGTTTGTCCTTTAGTGCTGGAACCCGGTTGGGGCTGAGCTTTGCCTGTTCAAAATGAAGGACCCCACGGGACCGAGGATGTTTTTGCATTTGTTTCTTCAAACTTGGGGTTGGGGTGTACCAAATCTTCGAGTGGGACGGTGGGCCACTTCAAAACCAATTCTAGCCTTAAATGGCGACCCAAGGTTTGCTGGTTTTGCATTGTCTCAGTTGTCCAAAGGAACTGGAAAATACGGTTAACCTTTCGGGGCCCTGAATAAGAATGAACCTAAAGAGGGAAACGAAGCTGAAATCGTGGGTGGAACTGGCCTTCTCCGCTCTCCCATGTTGGGCCTCTCAGAGCTGGCCTTTCATTAGTGCTCATTCTAGCCACGTGGCAAATTCATGTCTTCGGGGAAGAAACACACACATACACACCTAGACACACCAAGCAGAGTTTGCATATTTATTGGGATGGCCAGCAAAGCCACTTTGCACGTCATTGTGTGAGGTTGTCTGCTCATGGCCCAAGGTCAGTCATGAAAGGACGCCTCTTACCTTGACAAACAGAACCTCGGAATTCTGTCTCGCCATGTCAAGAATCCGTGTAGAAGAACACATAGCTCTCAAATTCCCCCCTGCCCATGTTGTAACCCGATCGGGGTGTTGCTTTGAACAAGACTTAGACTATCTAATAATGTTGACCCCTGATTGATAAACTCCTGCTTACTAATATATGGGTATTCCCCTCCAAGAGTGATGAATCCCCAGTAACACCACGGACTCCCCCATACCAGTAGAGCCGGCTATCTGCACCTGACCTTGCGAAAGCGCTGCGCCTGCCACGAAATCTGCACTTGACCTTGCGAACGTGCTGCGCCTGCCACGAGATCTGTACCCGACCTTGCACGGGCACAAAATGCTGCGCCTGCCACGAAATCTGCACCTTAGGCTGCCAAAGTGCTGCGCCTGCAACGCAAAATGGACCTCCGAAAACGTCTGCGCGAGCATTACAGTGGGCAACATTCCGAGCCCGTGGCGAGACCGTGGCGAGACCGCACGCTGAACAGGGGTACCCTTCGCGTGTTTCGCATGTCTCACTCTACTTTTCGTATTACGGAAGTTTTCTACCTAAACTTCCTTTGATTAATAAACTGGGCCAGCTTTATTAATCCAGGGTCGACATTCTTTGGCCCGAATTTGGGACAACAGCCACCCAGAGAGCGCATGTTCGGCCGGCCTTGCAAGCGCCCGGAATCCACGAGAAATGTCCACTGCTGAAAGCGTTCTTCAGCACCGGGGCTCTTCAAGAGCGCCTGCGCGGACTGCAAACTGGGCATCGGAACTCTTACTACCCTAGCCCTGCTACTACATTGTCCACATATACCTGCATATGTACATATATATATATATATATATATGTGTACACTTAATATTCATACATACGTAAGTACGTACGTACGTACGTAGGTAGGTAGGTAGGTAGGTAGGTAGGTAGGTAGGTAGGTATGTATGTTTTTTTTTTTTTTTTTTTTTATTTTTTTTTTTTTTTTTTTTTATGTACACACACACATGTATGTGTATATCTAAATATCATGTACCGCATTTTGTGTGTTCAGTTCAAGCTCTAGGACACATGCCCTGTCATAAGACATCACATGATGATATGATATGCTCTCAGCCGATGAGCCTCTTCACAGAAACTTGTCTTAGGAGCAGCTAGCTACAGTATTCCGCTGAGAACCGCCAGGCTTCCACCAACCCTCCCCACCCGTGCTGGAATGGGGCTAGCCAAGAGCTGCTTTGGCAAAAATAAAACAACACAGGGGATCAAGCTGAAACAGAAAACAAGCCCAGCTGAAACGAAGAGGCGATGAAAGCAAAAGAAATGATGAGACCAAAGTGGCCCAAAACCAGGAGACCCAAACTGAAAATCACCAGCCAGAATATGGGCCAAATGATACAACTAGAATCAAACATCGATGCGCTATTGTGTAGTCCGCTCTGGATATCCATCTGCGAAAGGATTGCACCAAAAAACTCACCCCATAGAAATGATTGAAAGGTTGAACCTAGCATAGCTCAGCTGTCCAAGGGAAATTGCTTCCGCAAGGCGGGCCAGCAGCGCCATTTTAGCCTGCAACATGAGCCTTCAAGATACAGTGGGCGCAGTATTGATAAACCCGTCCCATTATTAGGGGGGGTGTTCCCTCCAACAGTGATGAATCCCCACTAAAAGGGTTGCTCCCCCCTATGAATCAACCAGAGGTTCTGCTTAATCCGGGGTTAACATTACAGCGTGGGTGCAGGACATGAAGCAACTTGTCTCATCTGGAGGATGCTTATAGCTGATTCTCAACTGAAGTACGTACCTCCAAAGCCTCTGATCGCATGGGTTTGCAGGGGCAGCCGGAATTTGGCATGAAGTCAGGGATCAGCTCCAAGGCTTTTGCACTTCACACTGCTTGGTTGAAGGGTGGAGCCACACGCGCCCAAAAGGGTGGTTTCCTATTGGTTCCCCGTTAAAACCATGCCAAAAAGGTCCCTGGAAAAAAGACGGGCCACCCACATCTTTGGCGGGAAACTCAGTGAGTCCTTGTGCCCCACCTCCAGCTCCTTCAGGTGGCGTTCTTCTGCTCCCCACTGCTTCAGCAGCTGCAGTGGCGTCGCCGCCGCGGCGAAAACCAGCCCTGGGCAGGTGCAAGGCGAGCCACGCCCAGTGCTCAGTTGTCACATGACCCAGGCGCGCTTCAACCGGGCTTCAACCGTTCTCTTTTGAAACTGGTGGGACATGCCCCCAGCAAAGTCAGGAAATGGGAAATGGGTCCTTTCGCTTTGGCCTGCCAATGGCTGAGCGATTTTCCAGGAAAGGGGGATGCACAGAAAGTGGCCCACTCAACCAAGGAAGAACAACGCTACAACTCAGTCGCATCTGCGCATGAAGAAGACCCTCTGCTCAATTGTCCGCTACTTCGGTGTCGGGCCCTTGCCAGTTCAAAACTAAATGGGGCTCTCCGCCATGCAGCAAATGGACCGCATGAATCGCATGACTGAAACGTGTCAATCAAGATTCATGATGATTCCCCTGCGTTTTCTTAAGCACAAAGCAAGCCACATGGAAGCCTCGAGCATCACATGATTCGAAGACGTTTCGTGTTGAAGTCGTGACCCGCAAAATCCCTAGCACGAGTCAAACTCAGTTGTGTCAGCAAGCTTCATACGATGCCATCGCATGCTCGCAACTTCGTTGCATAACTCTTCTTATTGCATTTTGACAAACTGATATGGCGCCAGTTCGGGGGAGGCTTTAGACGGAGCCTCAGAGTCCAGTAACACCTTGAGAATCTCAGCACGTTAAGAAGCGTACCGAGGTTCCGGAGGCCCTGAATCCAAGACCCCATGAGTCAAACCTGTGTAGTTCATGGGCACGGTATGCTTATCTCGACTGGCCGAGTCACCATGCCTAGTGAGCCTCATGTTGGGGGTTGGTTTGAATAGTCCGAGTTGGAAAAAAACGTATTTTATTTTATTTCCTATGAACATATAGTCGAGGGGAGTCCAACTCATGTTAATTTGAAATGAGTTCAGTCCAACTTTGAAGGGATTTTCAGAGAGGCCAAAATGATTTCGCATCAAAAAAAGGGGTGGACTAAAATAAAATAAATGACTTATTTTCGGGTCCGACCCACCCCTACTTTATTTTGAGCCTGCTTCGGGGCTAATTAATGAAGGGGGACGCCCTAGGGTTCAACCCCTTCAATAAAGAAAGGCTTGACCCAAATTGGATGATGATCATCCACTTAGGCAAAGAAGGGTGGTTCTATCAACCCCCCATTGTTCTACTGGTAACTGAACCCCAGGGGGCCAACCATCTTCTTCATGGCATCAGATCATCAGAACCCCATGGGCCAAACATCCTCCGGCCATTGGGTCCAGGCGGCGGGGGGTGGAAGCCTCCGGCGCCACGTACTCCGCGAAGCTGAAGTCATCCTCTGGGAGATCCAACGCCTCCGGGGAACTGCCAGTGGTCATGTGGCCTTGGGCTTTTCAAAAGCCAAATCGGGCCCCCAGTGACCATCCCAATCCAACCACTCAAATAGGAAACCTAAAATGGGTGAAGAATTCACCTACCAACCAGAATGGTACCATTGGTTTTGACCCACAGCCACGGGTGGTCGCACGTCAACGCGGTCGACCGCCTCCAAAACACAAACGCGGATCTCCTTCTTTTTTTGGCCGGTCGAAAGAAAAGCAGGAGAGAACACGCGCAAGAAAAAGAAGGGTCCGATGGCCATCTGTGAATCCTTGAAAAACCATGGTGCTAACATCTCTGGTACCTGCTTTGCATGACGTCGTTCTCAAAGAACGACCCGCCGAAGACTCCTTTCGAGGTCAACATCTGGGAAACAAGTAAACATATGTATATTCTGTGCAGGCCCACGAATCACATGCCCTTCTGTCTCTGTGCTTCATCACCGATTTCCTTTTGTCCTTCAACCGACTTGTGAAGGAGCTGAAAACTGAGCTGTCCTCAGATCCCCTGCTACAAGTTAGATGGAAACCCAACCACTGAACCAACTAAAACTAAAAACCCGAGGAACCGGACGGCTGGGAACCATCAAGACAATGAGGCCCTTGTGCTGAGACGGCGCCCACAGTTTGGGGTTCGCCAAGAACCCTGATCGGCCAGTCGGCCACGCGTCATCTTACATGTGGATAAAGTCTCAACATGTTGACGCCTCTTGAACTGGAAAAGGAAGCCAAAAGGAAACCATCCCAAGATAGGACTCTCCACTATGGAGCGTCATTCTAAAAACTGCAAAACCCAACTGATGCTCAAATCGCAGGGAGATCTGTTGAGAGCCTTGCACCGGGCCTCCAGCTCCAGCTTCTTCAGGTGCAGAAAGACCCGGAAGCTGGGCAGCTGGAAGTGCCTGGCACGGCGATACGGCGCTAGTGAGAAGAGCGAAGTTCCCTTTAAAGCACAGTGAAAAGGGTACCCGTCAAAGCAACACACCCAAATGACACGGAATCCAACACAACCCTGCTCCAAAAAGACCCCGTGACGATAGACATTTGAAGGGACACTAACTGAAGCACTGATCGATTCTCGACCCCTGTGGTGCTCAATGGCTCGGCAAAGGGCACGAGTTTCGGCACGAGGGGGTAGGAGCTTCCTTCCAAGACGTGGGTGATCAGAAAGGCGGCTCAGCGAAGCAGAAGACCAATTGACTGAGTTTTGGAACTCGTTGCGTACTCTCATCAGACTGGAATTCTGGAATCTAAATGAGCTGGGAAATAGATCTAGTCCTTTCTACTGCAACAGAAACTGCGGCCATCTTGGCTCAAAGACATTCTCTCGAAGTTCGGGCAACTGATTTGAGGGATGAACGTTTCTGAGAAGGAACGAGCTGTTCGCAAAAGATCAAGGATCAAACACTTCAAGGCTGTCAAGTACCTGCCATCCTTGTTGTGCGGGCCGTGACCCAAAGGATTTCGGACACCAAACTCCTGCCCTGAACGAGGACACATGACAAATGCCATTTTTGGATGGTTTCTTCCATTTGCTTCAATCCCCCTGGAAAAATAAAACTATTTCCAGTAGTAACGGATTCCCCTTAAAAAACCAACAAGTTGAACAATAAGACTTGTTCGCCAGGACCCTGAGGTTTGCCCGCCTCCCAGCGTCCAGTTTCACGTGTGTTTTTTTCCATGTATTTGTCTGCATCTGATTCACGTGCAGGCCGTGTCGTCATGCACATTGGTGAGCGTGGGACGACGGCATGGGCGTCAGTGTTGCGAGCATAAACCCTAAAAAGCTTGGGTGGGGCCAAACATAAACCCTAAAACTGTGCTGGTGGGGCCAACATAAACCCTAAAACTATGTTGGTGGGGCCAACATAAACCCTCAAAGGTGGTGGTGGCGCCAACATAAACCCTAAAACGTGGTGGTAGAGCCAGCAAAAACCCTAAAAGGTGTCTGTTGGCCAACATAACCCTAAAACTGTGCTGGTGGGGCCAACATAAACCCTAAACAGTGGTGGTGGGCCCAACGTAAACCCAAAAAGGTGTCAGTGGTGCCAACATAAGCCATAAACCCTAAACCTGAACCCGAAAACTTAACCCTAAAAAACCTGGACCCTAAAACCGTAAGCCCAAAACTTTAACCCTACCCCTTAACCCTACCCTCAACCTTAACCCTAAATCTAGAAACCCTAACCTTAACCCTAAAAAACCTGAACCCTAACACCATAAACCCTAAACCTGAACCCTAAACCTTAACCCTCAAAAGCCATAACCCTAAACCTTAACCCTAAAAATCATTGACCCTAGAACCATACACCCAAAACCTTAACCCCAAACCTTAACCCTAAAACCATAAACCCTAAACCTTAACCCTAAAAAGCCATAACCCTAAACCTTAACAATAGAACCATAACCCTAACCTGAACCCTAAAAAAACCTGAGTCCTAAAACCATAAACCCTAAACCTCAACCCTAAACCTTAACCCTAAAACCAGAAAACGTGACTTTAACCCTAAAAAAAACCTGAACCCTAAATCCATAAACCCTAAACCTTAACCCTAAACCTGAATCCTAAAACCATATATAAACCCTAAGCCTTAACCCTAAATAACGTGACCCGAAAACCAGAAGCCACACACCTTAAGGCTAAGAAGACTGAATTAACCCTAACCACTGTCTCGTGCAGGTTGGCTGGCTACTTGTTGGGGGTGGGCAAACCTCCATTCAGCAAATGGAAGGTTTTGAAGGGAGCATCGAAAGGAACGATGCCATTTCGGGCTCCCCTCGAGAAACTCGTCTCCAGTTCTCTGCCTGGGCACGGAGTTCCGGCGGTCGCCGACTATCGGGTGGCCCGCAGCCAGCAGGTGATCCTGGACCTGGTGGGTGCGCCCCACCTCGGCCAATGCCGCGGAAAAAGCCGGGCGGCTGGCAGCCAGCTTTGGCTCAGATGCCCAGTGGATTTCCATGGGAAAAAAGAGGCATCCTCTTTTGGTTGGTTGAGGTTCAAGGGGAACCCTTCCGCAAAAAAAGGGAAACAAGGGCGCCACTGGGCAACAGAGGTTGATAGTTCAACGTGAATCCCACCAAAAAAGGAACAACACAAAAGACACAGCACAAATCCCTGACGGTTCCAGATCAGACCAGCGGAGTCGGAAGCGAACTAATTTAGTTGGCCTCTGCTTCTACAGGGCAGTTTTTGAGAAAGCCCGCTTCAAATTCAAGCTGGCGCTGAGGACGGAACACTTCTGCAGTTAAGAACACCCGGATTCATGAACCTCACAGCTCGGAAGCGGGTGTTTCAAAGGTGAAGCATTCCCCAGTTAGAATGGGACACCCCTCATGAAAATCCACCCGGGGCTTATCAACCTCCATCCAACACATCCCAACCTGCGAGGGGGCTTCGAAAGGCCCGGATCAGCTGCAAAAAGTCGCGCCCAAACCGAACACATTATAAGAAAGACGGTAGGGTACATACTTGAACCAGGGATCGTTGGTTCATGTAAGGACAACCAACATGAAACCCAACCATCAGTCAAAACTCCAAGTGCGGTTCATATCTTGGCCGACATCTGAGGCACACAAAGCTGTTCTGATGTTGATCCATATATTTCGTCTACCCGCACGGGCGAACGTTCGTAGAACGGCTTGACGCGGGGAACGCGTCCGCTACGCGCATGCGCGGAGCACAGTGGTATGTGTTGGCCAGTGGCCGCAGCACGCCTGCAAGCGGGGCGCGCGGCCGGCGCGGCGTGGAGCACGGCCGTGCGCGCGGAGCGTGGGATGCGCGGAGAATGCTGGTGCACGCACGGCGAGGAGACCTCTGGCGCGCGGTGTTGTGAAGTCAGGGAAGTGCACATGTAAATCCATGAGAATCAGCTCAGCTCCTGAAACTGCACGCCATAGGCCAAAACTATAGTCAGGTTGAGTTCAATGCGGATTGAGCGCAAAAACAGTGTCCCAAAGCAATTTTGTTTATGGAGAACAGTGCGACCCATGGTGTAGGATTGTTGTTGGAGAATGGGAGATCACTCATTAGATGAATGGGACATTCGGACAATACAATATTTCGGCGAGCCAAAGCTGCCAAAACCTTTGCAGAGGTTGATTTGTTGTTTGCTCTTCACTTTTCCCGCCCCTTCTGACTTCTTCAGAAACCACCTTAAAGCACCCTAAAGTTGGGCCAACGTTTCCAAAAAAAGCAAAGGATCTGTGGACAGAAATGGAACGAGCCAACTTCGAGCACCTTTCGCCCAGTGGCCATGGTCCAAGCCTCCACCAGGGCCACCTTCTGTGCCCCGCCGAAGGTGGCCTCGAGGCAACTTTTCGGCCCCACAAGAAACTCGGGGCATGGAAGAAACCCTGCGGCTGGGCGAACTGAAACTTTTTGCGCCACCACTTAGCCGTGCTGTGAGGGGTACAGCAAAGAAGAAGAAGAAGAAGAAGAAGAAGGCACTAGTCGGGTTGGGCAAAAGACACTAGCCTGTAAGGAAAACCAGAAGCAACTATTTATTGTTTAAGCATATGTGCGTTTAAACCCTAACCCCAACCTCCCACCCCACACACACCCCAAAACGCCCCCGCCAAAATTCAGCGTGCTTGAAGCCAGTTCCTCCAAAACCTTGGCCCAACCCCGAACTCCAAGAAGTGAAACCCAGTTTCTCCAGTCGGAACCCAACCAAAAACTCCGAGAAATCATGCCGGGGCGCCGGCCAGACGCCCCGGCGCAGTTGTCGCACGAAGGTCTTGGGGCGGCCCCCCTTCACCGGGGAGTCCAAGGTCGCCGCGTCCCAGCTGGGCCATCCAAAAACTACCCCCTCGTAGCTGCGCCGCACCTCGGGAGGTGTTCAACGCGGTTTTTTTTCGGGGGAAAATGAAGTTGGTTGGGTGATGGGTGGATCGGTGGCCTTTTTTTTCTTACCGGAGTGACCCCTTCTTTGGCGGTTTCAAAGGGAAAGACACCCGCCCATGTTTAGCGGTCACCTAAAAAAAGACACCCCCACCTATTGTTGGCTTTGCTGGTTCTCCGAGAAACAAAATTTCGGGGCTTTGGGAATGTTCGAAAGGAAGCCACAAGTGATGGTTGGTGTGGGGTCATTGCCTCATTCCCTGCTGAGAACCAGCTAGCAATTGGAAAATCCCGTCTCAACCATGTACTTCCCTGCAAATGCAAAGGAACAGGGTCAATATGTTTTAAGGGTTGCTAGATTTTTCACCACCCGCCCATCATGTTTGAAGTGGAACTCCTTGGTCAAGGTAGTGGAAAGCAGCCCTACCAAAGTCAGAAAATGAAGCCAACTTGGAAGGCGATGTTGGTCAAATGGTTCCAGATTTCTGTGATACCAAAGTGGGATTCCCATCGCCTTTTGTGCCCCCCTTACATCATCCCACCAACAGGTGGCGCCATCAGTCGTGTTTGAAACCAAACAAAAAGGGAAACATAAGAAAACAAAAAGTTGAAGGAGAACCGATTTTGAAGAATGCACCTGGCGTTGGCACCAGTTTCCCAGATAGAGACCAAATGGATTTGGTTTGGTTTGGCAACTGGACGCAAGCAAACAAACGGCCTCCAACGTGTTCGGTTGATGTCTCTCATGTTGACACATCTGCTTGGACAGCTGTTGGAGGATGCTGGTATAACACCGCTTGAAAACTCGCCCTCTCATTGGGCGAAGAAAGCGTGCAGTTGGATTCATACAGCAACGAACTCCGCCAAGGTTAGAACATGTTTAAGCCATCCCAAAATCCTCATGGCTCCAGTCTCAACCCATTTGCCGCAACCCTGGACCTTCACACAATGAACATACGGGGGTCGCAAAATGACGACACTTGGATGGGTATTTCGGGAAACTGAAGGAAGCCAACCAAAGGGATGCGGAGACACACCCGAGAGAGGAAGGCTTTGGGGCAGGCTGCGAGTGATTTCCGATGTTGCAAAAAGCACCAGGAAGAAATACAAGATCATTTCTGAGGGATCTACCAGACGCAAATTGGGAATATATCCTGTATATAGCAGTTACATAATCTTACATACCTCATTAGCAAAAGGGAAACCGAAGCTGGCATATCTGGGCTGTCCTCACATCCCCTGCTGAAAGTTCTACTTTTAGTGGGTTAAATGGAAACTCCCGCTAAACCCTAAAAGCCTTTTTAAAAATAGCTGGGAACCACCAAGATATTAAGGGTCCACATCCCATTTCAAGACAAACCCGTACGAGCCTTGGACCAAATGACTAGTCTCTGCAAGGGGACATGGGGCTACCAGCAAGTTTGTCAGTTGCTATGGCACCCGCCTGGTGCTGCTGAAATTGCTCCTTCAGCTGCTGCACACTCTTCCGCTTCCCCACCAGCATCACCTCAGGCAAGCAGCGAAAACCATGGAAGGAGCTACAAGTCATTCTAGGGTTCCTCAGGTCAGTAAAGTCCAGTCCTGCCAGGGGTATGTAGGTATGCATATTAAATTATCAGGGAGTTAGCCATACATCAGCAACTAGCGTTGCTGCAAATGTCCAGCAGAACTGCCTGGGGATTTTACCCAGGCTTCCAGGCACTAGTTTGTTTCCCAAGCGCCAAGGCGCATTGAATATTCTCTGTCCACCCAGCTTGAGGCAAACGAAGCGCCATCAATCCCCTCCGTTTAAAGCCGCCGCCTGCTACCTTCGATGCCAAGAAACCCCCGAGATCTCATCCTCCAAAGAGTGGCAGATGTGCATCTTGGCGCCAGCGCTTGCTTGGAACCACTGTCCGACCTAAGCCGGCAGAAACGTGGTCGTTGGAAGGGGAGCAACAATTTAGTTTTTAGCAGTTCAGTGGGGATTTCCCACTAGACCACAATAAGAAAAAATGTAAAATGTGTCCCAACAACAACCATGGAAAGGGCCCAATAGGTTGGCGAAGGGGTTTTGGGGAACCTGAACGGAAAGAAAACACCTGCCCGAGCCGCCCTTTGCATCGCAAAGCCAGTTCACCAATTGCTCCTCCCAGCTGAGCTGCCGTCTCTTCGCCAGGGTAGCCATGCTCCTCTCTCTCTCTCTCACCCGCCATTGGGACATGTCTAGAGATCAGACTTAAAGCGATCATGTTTCGGGCGTAGCGGTGTACCTTCTGCTCCCTGTGGGAACAGGGATACTCCCTGTCCCCAACTTTTCGAGCAAGCCTCGCCTATCAGGTATGTGATATTCACAAAACCTTTGCTTGTCATGGACAACACAAAAGAACCTGGGACCGATATGGCTGTGTCCGTGATGCAAACTGGAAAATTGCCCCCCCCCCCCAAGCCAAGTGACAAAAAGTTGGCTTGGCCTCTCCAAATGAGAACTTAAAAGGCCATCCAAAAGGGTCTGTTCCAATTGCAACCAGCCATGGCAGTGGACAATAACACTTTATGCTGTGGCCACTCTCCTGACTACGATATCGCTTTAACGGGGATTCCCTTGGTATCGCTGAAAGTGGCCCGAAAGCCCCAAACCATGAACAATCTGGCAGCCCGCAAACCCCCAGAATTGAGCCTTCCAATCGGGAAGGTCGGACTCATGGATGAGAGTTTCTCAAAATAGGGGACCTCTTTCTAGATGGTTTCAAAGAACCAAAAGGAAACTACCTGGAGAAATCGGTCCCCAATCTGCAGAAACATAGGTCACCACGAAAAATTGGAAAAGTTACTCATGGTCATTTGGGGGCCGAAGGGGTTCATACGTCCACGCCCACATGTCATATGGCCATGTGTCACAATCCCCACTAAAATAGGTTCTAAAATGGGTGGTGAATTCACCTACCAACCAAAATGGGATCCCATTGGTTTTGACAACCACAATATGGGAGTGGGTCGAAAATAGGTACCCAAAATGGGTTGCCCTGGTAAATGGAAACATGGACTAAAACCTGCGGTCCATATCCTGGTGGTTTAATTTTGGCAACCACATGTCGTATCTCCGCTTCGAATCTCGCCCTGCGCTCCTTGGGCCAGGTCAGCAAGTCCCGGGGCTTCCGCAGCAGCTGCGGCCCCTCGCCTCCGGACACCAGCGCCTTGCGCTTTGGAGCTTGAAAAAAAACCTCACTGACCTGAGACGAAGAAGTTCTTTGAAACTGGGCCCGTAAGAAAGCTGGCAAAACGCGTTGGGAGTTTAAGGCCAATCGGAAGGTTTAGACTAACTTTTGGGCCCTCAAGAAAACTGGCAGCCGAAAGCCAAGACTTTGGCAGGAAAGTTCACCCAAAAGGAACCTGTAGAAGCGACAACGGCTCCTGAGAAGGAGGACCCTCCCTCATCGTTCTTTGTGGCTTTGCTTCGCACGGAACAACCGGACATGTGTCAATAGGGGGAACCACGAAATGGCTTTTTCCCTTTGGCGTCCCCTTGAGCTTGGACCCCAACAAATAGTTCTTTCCCTTGTGGTTACCCCTTGAACTTCTGAAACAAGGTTTAAAAAAAAGGCCCTCACACTGACCCTGCTTCAAAAAAATACATTTCTTCTTTGGGCGGCCAACTCGAGCCTTTCTTTCCCATGATCCCTACAAGACCCCGGGAAAATCTGACCACACCCCCCAACCCCACCCCAACCCTTGGTTGACGTTGGAAGGGGAGCAACAAAATGACTTTTAGCAGTTAAGTGGGGATTTCCCACTAAACCACAATAAGCAAAAATGAAAAATGTTCCCCAACAACAACCCTGAACCCCTCCCCTTCCGTCCACCCCCACCCCAACCCCCCCCCCCCCCCCCGGCGGGTTTTTTGCTTTCTTGGCCGCGGGGCGATCTGGCCATCCAGCAAGCTCTCCGGGAAGGCCTCGGCCGTGGCCACCGCCAGCTCAAGGGACACCTTGCCTGGCCGCTTGGAGTTGGCACCTGGAGGGGTTCCTAGCTGGACGGGTCTCAGCTCTCATTCCTGGGAGGTGGCACCCGCCCCCATCACCCGTGGTTTCAACCAAAAGGACACCCATCATTTTCGAGAAAAGACACACACACCCAGATCAACATGGAACCCAAAAAGGGTAACGGTTTGTAGAAGAGTCACCTTTGGGCGACCCCTTGTTTGGGCTTCATGAGAATTTGGAGGCAAGTACAGTCAAATCCGCCACATGTCCAAAGGGTCAAAGGAAACCATGCAATGCAAACCTGAAACTTGAAGCACCACTTTGGATGCTCCTTTTTCAAACGAGACCAAGTGGATGGTTCCTGTTTGGAAAACCAGTTAAAGGGTACAAATCAAACTAAGCTATGTTCAAGACTAAGACTGTTTGGTGTAGTTGATATGGCGTACTGATAAGGTAAGGCAACATAACCAAGGAAAGCACTACGTAGCAATAAAGGGGTCTGCGGATTCATGCTGACCAATCCAAGTCTTCGTTTCTGCTTCTCTCCACAGATGGATTGCCAATATTCCACCTCCTCCTTTCCTGTTGTCAAACAAGTTATGTCAACGCTGCCAACTGCACTAAAGGGTTTTGCAGTTGGACTTTAACCTATACTGCATGCCAAATATGGGTTTGTCTTAGTTACAAATGCCACTGTAGATGCAACTCAGTCGTCCCTAAGTGCGAAAACTAGGCAAGTTAGGCACATAGAACCAAGACACGCACACACACACGCACACACACACACACACACACACTCACAGGCATACACCTACAGGCACTGTAACAGCAAGCAGTGCAACTCTTTGCAGCCACATGTTGCTTCCGCATATTCAGCTCATCTGGACAAAATTCAGTGATTCCCAACTCGAATTTAGAAATCCCTCGCAAAAGGAACCTATGGGTGCGCTCATTTACAGTCTTCCCAGGCTTTGTTTCCACCACTTCTCCCTATCCCAAAATCGTGTTTTTGCTTGCAACACCTCACCATCTCACTTTTATTTTGCCCGAAAAGTAATGCTGAAACATCATGGGACATATGTGCTCCAGAGAAAACTAGGAGGGAAATTGGCAATTTGGGGAGTCTCCCTGGCTTTCGCAGAAATTTGGGGATTGTCTCCAAACCAGACTACCAATGATCTTGTCAGTATATCATACATAATACACTCATATTATGTATGGGTGGTTTTCGAAATTGGGGACCCTTCCAGGGTGATGGGTTCCTTTGGAGATCCCATTCAAATCCATCCCAAAAAAAAGGCCGCCTGTTTAAAAAAAAAACAAAAACATGGCCACACGAAACCCTGCACTCCACTTCGCATTTTTCGGGTGCCTCGTTGCACCCACCAGGCCAGCTGAGCAAGGCGCGGAGCGGAACATGGCAGGCCTGCAGGACTGGCAGCCGGCATTTGATAAAAGGGGATGGAAGTAACAAGACATGGCCATGAATTTTAAAGGGGAACCACCTCAGAAGTGATTGGTGGACATGGATCCCCACCTAAATGATGTCCACCAAAGGGTCCCTTGTTAAAATTCATGGCCACATGTGTAATAGAGAACACTACGGATAAAAAGATGTAAGCAACATTTGACAAAAGGGGATTCAATAGAAAATGTATTTTCTCCTTTTTTTGTTGTTTTCATGAAGAAGTAGTACAGTTGATAAATGTGCAATAGAAAATATGACTTACTACACAATACAAGAAATGGGAAAATGATTGATGCTAATTATAGAAAAAGCAAGAGCGGGTGTCTTTTCTTAACCCTCTTCAGGGCTGTGAAAGCAAACCGAAAGGACAACCACAATCCTGGGGGTTATTTTGAAACAAGCCCATGCGAGCGGTTGTTTGATGTCTAAACGCCTGCGCAGTTTTGAAAATGGCCCTTGGCCATGGAAACAGAACTCAACCAACATCATAAGAATGGGGTCCTTTCCCTCGCATACCACTTGGCAGGTGACTTTGGCAGGTGACTTTGGCAGGTGACTTTGGCAGGTGACTTTGGCAGGTGACTTTGGCAGGTGGCTTTGGCAGGTGACTTTGGCAGGTGGCTCGGAAATTGGCTCAATGAGGGCTTCTTGCCCTTTTCACTTCGGGGGGGCCCTTAACTTAACTTCTCAAAAAGGGCCATAAGGGTTGACCCCGGGACATGACAACAAACAGTTGCCATTTGCTGTCATAAGCTGGGCTTTGGCTCTTCTGGGGTTCTCTTGGTATCACATCGTGGCCCTCCAAACCGAGTTCCCACCTGGTTGCTTTTTGACCATGGCGCATACCCAAAACCAGTTTAGCAGTCGAAGCCAGTCTGGGACTTTTCTTTTTGGACATAAGGTTGCAACAAAACAGAAAGCGGACGAGTCGCTCAGCCTGGAACTGCCATCCCACAGTTTCACCGGCAACCCCAGAGAAAGAATTGGAGCCCTTGTTGGGGTTGGGGTTCATTCGTCAGGAACCCAAACAAGCAAGTCTGAACCATGTAAAAAATTAGAAAGGCGGCTGCACCCATTCATGGTTGGGATTGTCCGTTGCTAAACTTCATCTACACGGGTTTTGATTGTGGGTCGAGTAGTGCTTAGACGGTGAGCTTTGGCAAGTACTTGGAAAGGGCCTCGCTTTCCTTCCCATTCGCCGTCCTCTGAACCCCAATAGATCAGGCCCAGTGCTTTCCCGTGGAAAGCAAGTAAAATGGGAAAAGGAAGCATCAGCCCCTATCCGCCGTGGAAGAAATGAGAAACCGCTTGGTTTATTGAAAGACGATAAAGAACCCAGCCATGCCACCCATCCCCGTGGGGGCCTGCCAGCTGTTCCTCCAGCGACATTGCAAGCCATGGCAACCGCTTGCGGCTGGCGCGTGGCGGGTCGAGTGGAGAAGAAGAATCATCGAGCCACCCGTAGTCGACCAACTGAAAAACATGCAGAGAAAAACCATGCTGTTTATAAGGATTTGTTGACGTCGTCTGATTTGGCTGAATGGGAGCAACAGAGATAGATTGGTCCTTGCAGAGCTGTTAGCATCTGAGCTCAACAGTGTGTGCGCTCGTTTACGATAAGATGACCGTGCAATCATTTGCTGATCCCGCAAAGCCTCCAAAGCGGCCGCTGCAAAGCAAAGCAAAAGGACGAAAGTGGCAAGGCGTCTTGGTAAGTCATTATAGTTCACCACCCCATCGAAGAACCCTCGACAGGATACTGAATTCCTGAGTTAGGTTGCTGTGGAGAAGATTCGTGAGTCCCAATAGTATGCCAAACATCTGAGAAAAGTGAACCACCGGCATCTGCACACCCGTGGAGTGTCGCCCATCCGCTTCATCTTGGGTTTTGTGTAAAGCCAGGGCTATCCAAAAAAGCACGTGGCAGGCGCCCCGGAAGCTGTGGCTGCCACGAATGAGGAAGGCCAGCAGAGTGTAGCTGATCTCAGCCACAGCTGCGTCGAACTGACTCGTCCATCGGGGAAAACTTCCCCCAGGTACCGAGGAGCATCGAAAGGAACATGCCCCTTGGCTTGCTTCTTGGCCACTCAGCGCACTTGAAGCATCGGTTAGCGGTCAGGAACGCATTGCCAGAAGTGGTGCCAGGCTTCACGGAACCCCTATCGGTGAAATGCAAACCTCTCATTTGCCCATTTGATTGTGAGTTTGTATTTGCTCGACCCTGAAACCCAGCCAAACAAAGTTACTTCAGGAACAAGATGAACAAGTGCATATGAGGGGCCTAGAAGGCCGGTGGACCCATGAAGCACTTTCCATTCTCACACGAGCATCTAGACAGCAACATTACCATTCCGAGAACCCTCCAACATACCTTTTGAGCATACCCAAAAACCCCTATTGACGTCAATCTCCGCGGGAGCATGACAAGAATCCTCTTTCCCACATGTACTCCCGTCTTGAGGGAGTCCTCATCATGAAAGAGTTGCGGTATGCTCCAACGGTGCGTCGCAGGGCTCTTAGGCCCATGGCCTTGAGAAAGAATGCGGACTATGCAGCCCAACCACTCACGCGTTTCATCCGTTCACAATGTAACGGGCAACTCAGGGCACTCGTGCACAACTTGCGTAGCTGGGTGCGGGGCGATATTGTGAGCGTTCCTGGCGTTCGGCCGAGTCTCAAGCCCGTGGGCATTTTCCGGCACAAGGTTGGACCTACCCGGCCCAAGAACCTCACATAGGGTACTAGATCGTAGCAACCTTGATCCATGTTCCTCAAACTCAGCTGCAAAATGCCCACCAGTGAACTACCAGTGCGTGGCCTGCGCACTGTGAAAGACAAGCTACTCCATTGTGTCTCTGCAATGTTGTGTTTCGCCTCCAGAGCCCACCAATCACTTTTCAGCTCGTTCCGCGCAACAAATCATGGCCAGTAGACCAACCCGTGTGCACAGGTTAACCGCCGTTGCCCCTCCCTCCGGGCCTGTTGCGCGAAGGGGCGCCTTGCACCTTGTAGTTGGGCCGCGGCCTCGTTGCGGTAACGAGCGGAAGAATCTGGATGCGAGGCGAGTCAGTTTTGGTGCCTCGAGGCTCCGTGCCCTTTTCACCTTGGCTTCACAGGAAGCCAAAAGGAAAACCCACTATTTTTAGGGGTCAGGACCATACAAGGTCCTTTTTGGACAGAAAAACGGCACTGGTACATGATTAGAACCAAGCTGAAACTAGTACCATTTGTGTTCATTCAGACTGACCGAAAGAGGACACCTATGCTGTTCGGGGAAGGTCGCCTTTTCTGTTCTGCTGTTCTACCAAAATGATGAATCCCTCTGGCTGCCGTGTCGCTATGAAAATGACTCTCTTGGTATCGCAGAAAATGAGCAAACACCACAGTTCCCACAGTTCCCACAACCATGCCTGTGTTCTGGGGATTCTTTTCTGGGTGGCTTTACGGCGGGCTTCAGGTCAACTTAGGGTATTCTTTTTCGGTGAATGTCCGAAACATCCGAAACCCAGGGCTCGTTGCAACAAAGCAACCTGCACAAAAATGATATCTGCATGATGTTCTACTATAATTCCAAAAGCTGAAGTAAGGAGTGCCAAGTAAAGAAGCTTTATCATGGAGAGCTCATTCTACCAGGCGAATAAAATAGGCAGAATGATGCATGGCCGTAGTGGCAGCAATGATCGCTGGCCGGCGGTGTGCGAAACCGTCTGGACCCCTAAGACACACATTGATTGGATTCGTTTCAAACCAGCGATGACGTGGTCCAAACTCTATAGGGACTCTTTGTGGTATGGAAAGAACCCTAACGCAATGTGTTTCACCGATGCCAAATGATGTAATGCTTGAATGACCACGCAATGGGACAATAGGGAGCTAAAGGAGAGTGTGAGCCTAGAGTGTGAACCTGTTCTCACATCTCTGGATATGAAATCAATTGTAAAGCGAAGAGGCAAACTATGAAAGAAAGAACTGGTTCATTCTGCCTATCGCATCCAAATGGCTGCATCTGTGTCAAACTTAAAACGTGACTGACACGGTTACTAACCAGAGCGCAAGCTATTGGCTGGGTCCCCAGTATGAAGAGGAATCATCTTGTCCGAATTGCAAATGTGAATTCTTGACCAGCTGGTGGTTAAAATTAGTTCAAACAGACTTTTAAATCTCCTCGTAGCTTAGGACGGTTAGCTTTACACCTAATGTTGATGTTGCACTATAGATCTACAACAGTTTGACTGCGGCCTGGATCTTCCAAGACGGGTCCACTCACCACCAAACCACTATACAAGGACATGTGGGATATATGGGTGTGTCTTAAAATAGGGGGCCCAATTAACTGTGGTTTTCCTTTTGGTATCCCTTCAAAACCACCCCAAAAAGGGTTGCCCTCAAAGTGGAAACGCTCTTCCGGGCCCGTACCGACCCTGATCACACCCCCAAGGTTGGGGGCTGGGGTAACAAGCCATGGACCACAACTCAATCAAGGCGTGATCGGTTGCAGAGTTGAGCTCGAGATTTGGACTCTGGTTGAAGCTTTTGCCCCAAAAACAAAGACTCTGGTCCAGATGTTCCGCAAGCATCAACATATTCTGAGCCACGCAAGAGTACTTGTTTCCCCCAAGAGGAGAGTCGAGTGGTCCTCTAGCTGGCCTACCAATTTTGTCGGTTCATACGAAACCCTACTAAAAGGATTTCAAAGGAGACGCTGGAGCCCAGGAGTCGTTTTGAACAACTCATTGGCACTGGTAAATGATTAGAACCACCTACAACTAGTGCCACGCATGCCAAACTGACCACTAAAAACGGAACACCTACTGATGGACGAATTCCGGCGCCACTTGGTTGGATTCGCCCAACCTTCAGCCTGGCTTTCGATCCCAAGTTTGAAGGAGTTCGTCCACCTAGAGACTTAGACTCCCGGGGCGCCAGCACTAGCTCCACTGTCATCACCGAGCCTCCGAGTCGCGCTGGTGATGCCGGAAGAGGAGGCATGAGACATGAGTCGCCGTGTCCCCTGTGGTTTTGCTGTAAGGATTTGCGCGTGCATTTGTCGAGTATAAGAAACAACTGCAACAATAATGGAACTAGGAGGAGGTGGAGTAACTGGGGATCCTCGTGTTGTCGAAGGCGGTCAATGGCAAGCAGAAGACAAGGTACAAAATGCATGGGCAACTGGGAATAGCTCTGGTGCTGACTAATGCCAGTCGTGGACTCCAAAATTTCCACAGAAAGAATGGGTAATCACTCATTACTATGGTCCTACATACGCCGAGGTCTTTATTTCGAAAGCGATCCCCCCCTGTCGATGCCCATGCTGACTGGCTGCTGCTTACAATAGTACTGCCGGGCTTAGACTTGCAAAATCTATGTCTGACGCCAAAATGGGTGGGTGTTCCTTTCCTCTTGGCTTCCCGTTACATCCAACTGAAAAAAGGTTCCCAAAAAAAAGACAAACCCACAATGTTTTACGGATTGAATCTGAACAGCCGACCTTGCCACGGGCTTCTTGGCACGACTCACATTTTGAAGATGGTTGCTTGCACTGGCTCACAGCGCACGCAGAATTCGGAGATATATTTTTTTCACGGGTTCCGATCGCTTGCACCAAAGGACAATGTGTGTAACAGCCTAGAGCCCGTTTGCTAGAACCCATGCGAACTGTGACTTAAGCTGAGGTTCGACAGAGCCTACTTGTTTCCAGTATCCTCATTCAATCCGCCAGACATTTTGAGGAAGAAGGAATCCTGTCTAAAACTGGTGGTCGCTTGGTCTTGCTGCCCGAAACTGACCAAAATCTGGTCAAGCGCATGACAACCTAGCATGCGAGTACCCTTCGTGGGGCTTTCAAGAAAAACCAAAGGGAAGCAACCCAAAATGGGGACAAAACGAATCCGGCCATGGGCTTGTCAAAATCCCAAGCCCGGTTACCCCCCAGTGAACATCCCAATCCAACCAAAATCGGAAACCTAACATGGGTGGTGCATTCACCAATCCCAACCAAAATGGGATCCCATTGGTTTTGACCAATCCCCACATAGATTAAAATGGGTGGTGCACCGAAAACCCCCCCAAAAATGGGATCAACCAAAACGGCTTTGACCCAAAGGCCAGCCATGCCCCGAGTTCTTCCAAGCCTTGGCTGCTGGGAATGCGATCGCATTGAGCTGTGACGATGTCCTGTATCCGAGCAGACAAGTGTTAGCCCCGGATCTAAGCAGAACTGGTTGATTCATAGGGGGGAGCAACCCCTTTTAGGGGGGATTCATCTGATGGATAAGGGGGAACCACCCCTTGTAGTGGGGATTCAGACCACTTTTGGAGGGAACACCCCCCTAAGAATGGGACGGGTTTATTGATCCTGTGTCAACATTATAATTGTAAACCCAGGTTTCAGCTACGCGCCCTTTTTCTTGAACACAAACGGCTTCCAGGTATTCCTAGACTCCTCCCAGTGCCTTGCCGCCAGGCTCGCACTGCTACAAAATGCTGCCCTCTTTTCGGGCTAAGGTCAAAACGTCGCCCCTTTTCGGGGCTAGCTCAAGCCGCGCTGAACCTCTCCTCTCCTGCAATTCGCGCAGGGCTGATAGGTCACTCCCCGCCCAGCGCACGTCTCCAGCACATGCCACAGGCCATCTCCTGTGATGTGCACTGCTCCCGGATGAACGAAGAGCAGCCGCCTGAAATCCGGTGTCGTGCACACCGGGCATGGCAGGGTCTCCATGACCCGAGTTGCCCTCCTCAAACCATAGCAATTCTCGCGGGCATGGTACTTCTCGCCCGTCATGGTGTAGAACACGCTAGGCTCCACCGGGATTCCGTCGTCCTCCGACTCAGGCTCGGGAATGTCTTGGTGACCACTCCCTGCGGCCCTCGATGCTGGGTTGACGTCAGCACCGGCTCCGCGCGATCCTGCCTGGGGTTCCGACCAAGGCCGTAGGTCCCTGCCAGGATCTGTCGCCTGTTTGCCCGTTCCTTTGTGGTAGCCCTTGCTGTAGCCCTTGCTGTAGCCCTTGCTGTAGCCCTTGGTGACCGCGATCCAGTCCACATTCCGTGCCGCGGTTCCCCTCGGCTCCACAGGCGTCTTTCCAATTCCCTTCGCCATAGATGGTGCCGCCGTCGTCCTCTTGGCTGTAGCCCCCAACTCGCCTGAGCCAGTCCCGGCACCAGATGAGGACCTCAACGGATCCTGCTCAGATCCCACATTCAATCTCGGCGTAGAAGGCCGTCTTGCCGTAGGGCTCGGCTCATCCACCACCGAAGAGGTAGGCCTCGGGGTAGTCCTCCTTGTGGATGACCCTCTAGCCGTTGACGATGACGCAGCCACCTCCTCTGTCTCTTCGACTTTCTCCACTCGCATGCTCTGGATCCTCGGTCCACCCCATCGCTCTTGTACCTTTGCCGCCAGCAACTCTAGCAGCTTCATGACCGCGACCGTGAACACCGCCACCAGCATGCCGAAGACCTTCAAGTGGTCGTAGTCCCCACTACCATCCTTCTTCTCAGGATTCTCCTCCATGGCTGCCGCACCTTGAACTTGCATGCAGCAGCCCAACACCGCCACCAGCCCTCGACACTTGTTCACCTCCAGTCTCACCAGAGCTGACTTCTCAATGTCCTCTTCACTCTCCCCTTTCGCCTTCATGCCCATCAACTTCATGAGCTCCTTCAGCTTTGCCCCTGTCAAGGCCTTGGTGCCCACGTCGGCGATCATCTCGACTCCAGGCAAATGCCGAACTCGCCATTCATCCGCTTGGATCCTCCACCGAAGGTGAAAGGCACGTAGGCGCAGATGACGTGTGCGCCAAGCTCCCGTGCTTTCTGCACACAGCTGAATCGCTGCCTGATTGTCACCGAAGAGGTACCGCATGTAGTTCGCGCCCTCCTCAATCTCGTTGATGAGAACGTCTACCGCGTCCCCCATCACAACGCCTTCGATCATCTCCATGAGCTCGCACTCGGCTGTACTCAGCGCCGGAAATCCTTGTCTGCTGGACTTCCAAGCGATCACCGAGTTCTGCCACTTCACCATCACGCAACCATGCGACAGAGCTCCTCCTGGCGCGAAGCTCGAGTCCGTGTAGACCTGCAAACCTGCCCGATCAGCTCCGTCCCAACCCACGCCGGTGTCCGGGGTGAATGTGAGTCCCACCGCCGATGTCCCGTTGAGGAACTTGAACGCCTGGAGGCCCACCTTCTGCACCCACCTTGGCGCTCGGGTCACGTGGCTTGCCAGCCTGGAAGTCACGAACGCCAGGTCCGGTCTTGTTCTTGTGACCACCCATAGCAGTTCTCCGGCTACCTTCTGAGCCGCTTGCACTTCCTCCGCCGTGATTTCGCTCTCTACCTCCGGCTCGGCCATATCCTTGGACATTGGGATTGCCGACTTTCCCGTGATGCCATTCCGCTCCACGAGGTCCTTGATGTAGTTCTCCTGAGTGAGGAGGTAGGTGCCGTCCTTCTCGAGCCACAGCTCCATCCCACAAAACCTCACTCCCGCTTCACTTCCGACCTCCTCCGGAGCCGACACTTCCCACACTGACTTTATCTGGCCACACAGGCTTTTCCTCACGGAATCGCTGGCCAGTATCAGCATGTCGTCCACGTACACGACAACCAGGCCCTTCATGACCTCCGTGCCATTCTCCTCGTAGATGACCTTCCACAAGTTGGGTTCAGACTCCAGCTGCCGCAACTTCAGCCATCCATCATCCCACTTCCATCGCCACTTCTCCATCGTGTCGTCCCGGTAGTCCGACCACAGCCTCGGCGATTGCCTAAGTCCATATAGTGCTCGCTCCACTTTCCACATCTCGCCGGGCTTGACCAATCCCAAACGAACCAGCAGCTGCGGGGGCTTCATCACAATGACGACCTCCCCTTCGTCATCAGCCGCTGCCAGCGGGGCATTCAGGAAAGCACACTTCACATCCAATGTCGTAGCCCCCCATGATCTGACCGCCGCCGTCTTCACCGCCAGTCTCATCGCAACGCTGTCGCTGCCTCCGGCATACAATTGCTGCTGATCATGGCTGTCTCCATAGTTTCCGCACACCACCAGCCGGCACTTCTTCCGGGCCTCCAGACCCGGCTTCAAGGTGTACACCGCCTTTCCCGGCAGCACTTGCACCTTCTTGTCCGAGTTCACCAGCCTCTTGGCCTCCTCCGGCGATAGTCTCGTCAACGCCTTCTTTTCCAGCATGAGCGAATCCATCTCCTTCACGATGGCTTCCTTCCACTCAACGAAGTTCTCTTCCACCTCCCGACCCGATACAATCTTGGTCTGCAGCACTTCCTGGTGCAGCTTCGCCTCCGGGGTCTCATCTCTGACTGTCTGCTCCTCTGCCCGCAAACTCTGGATACTCTTGACGATGATATCCACGACCTCAGGCTCGTCCTTGAGCAGGTTCCTTTCCTCCTCTTCTGCAAGCTGTGCCAGCCTTCTCACATACTTCAGCGCTCCATCCTCCTCTAACTTCTCCCTTGGAGTCTTCTCTCTCACCCTTCTCCTCAGCTCATATGGCTCCTCATCTTGCGGGGGCTTTTCTGCTCCTCTCTCAACCAACCTCCAGTCTGGCCCTTCCGTTGGCATCGGAGTCCACTTGTGCAGCACATACGCCGCTGTTTGGATGGATCCATCATCCTTCACGACCGCATGCCCACTTGGCACCTCCGCGATCGGGGTCATGTAGTAGGCCTTCTCGTTCAATGGATCCCACTCTTTTCTCTTCCACGTTCTCTTCTTCACCAACACCTCCTGACCAAATCTCGGCATATCGGCAGGCTTCCCAAGACGGATCCTCTTCTCCTTCTCGACTGCATATCTAGCCGCACATGGCCAGTATTCTCCTCCCATCTCAGCAGAGTGGAGTAGACGTCGGGTCCGATCCTTCAGCCCCCTGATTGCCCTTTCCGCACGGCCATTCTGGCGGTAGTCATCGCCTGCAGTTGATGTCTTGGCGATGTCTCTTGCCAAGCACCAGCTCGCCAACACCTTATTCTTGAACTCGCGCCCGCAGTCCGAGTGAAGTCGGGCTAGAGGAAGATTCTCCCGTCTTAACTCGAGGTACATCTGCTGGATCGCCTCCAAAACCTCTCGCGAGCTCTTGCTCACCAAAGGTATCATGAACCACAGCGTCTTTACTGGTAGTGGTGGAAGGCCTTCTTCGTCTTCTCCTCCCTCCTCTTCTTCTTCAGCTTCAGCCGGGTTCATCTGGGCGTCCTCCAACTCCTTGGCCTCATCTTCCAGCTCAAAGTCCCAATCTCCTGCTTCCAGAGGTGGCAACTCCGGCTCGTACTCCTCTTCTTCTATCACCAATTCTGGTCGAGGCGGTGGGTCAGGCGCTCCTTTGATCATGAAGATTGTTCTTCCTGCCCATCTTGAATCATCCTCGAACAGTCGCTCGCCAGCTCCTGCAGTTCTCCAATCATCGGTCACCGTCTCATACGCACCTCCTTTGGCCTTTCTCGCGACCGTGCGCCTCACATCCGTGGACTCTTCAGCCTCCTCCGGGAAGAACTTCCCTTTTCGGTGGGACTTGTGCACCCTGATGACCATTCGCCCATCGATGCTCTTGGTCCAGTAGTCCGCCAGCCTCCCTTTCTCCTCCTGGATCTCCCCCTCCTGGCCCTTGGTCCCCTTTTCGTAGAACAGGATGGTCCTCAGGTTGCGGGTCTTGTCCAAGAGTCGATGAAGGTCTTCCTCTTCTAGGTTCGTCACCTCCACGCTTTCCAGAACCTCACCGGTGTCATTGTCCACGGTGACTCTCCACTTCACGCTCCTCCAGGGCGGTCCTCCTTTTCGGGTGGTTCGGTAAGATACCGCATTCTCATCAATCCTCTTCCACCTCCGCATGGCTTGCACCCGTTGAGGGACCTTCCAACTCCCCGGAGCCAATCCGTCGATCTCCTCGTCCCACACCTCTTCCTTTCCACCACGAGGTAGGGTGTAGGCATATATGAGGAAGTACCTACAGCTCTTGCCGTCGATGTCGTGCCCTCGACGCAGAGGTCCCGCCAAGTCCACAGACAAGATGTGTGCCTGGGGATGAGCAATGCGCCGATGTGCTCGTCCCTGTGCGGATGCTTCCTGGCATACACGACAGTCTCGCCTGTATGGCGTATGGCCGTTGGCCAAATGCTCGGCCCACGACAGCTTTCTCACTGCTGTCTTGATTCCTGTTGCTTCCAGCAACGCCTTCGCGACGGACCGCATCAGTCCCGGCGCCCATCTCGCAAGCTCCTTCGAGCCCTCCACATCTGCTGCAGCTCTGGTCGTACGGGTAGACCTCCTTTCTTTGCTGCTTTGGCTCTCCTCAGGGATCGCCAACTCCAGGTCCGTGCCCATCGTCGTAGGTTTCGCGGCCTTTCCTCCGAACACGCTCTGAAAGAAGGTGATTTCACTCAGGCCCTCCTTCTCTTTCATTGCCCTCCACTGCGGCGTTCGCCACCACGACCAACACTCGGGCATATATTTCTCCGGGCTGGCTGGGTGCTCCACGAGGAAATGGGGTTCTTCACCTCCCTTTCGTAGTGCTGCCTTCTTCGCCGCCAGGTAGATGACCATCATCCTCCACATCATCACGTCGTCCTCGAACACCGCCTTAGCTTCGTGCTCGGTCAGGTCTGCCTTCCCGAACTGCTCCTGCACCGCGGGCCCCCTCACCGGTCTCGGGCCTCCTCCAGCCTCCGGCAACGGGTAATGCCTCAGCACACTCCTCGTTCGACAGTTTGGTCCTCCAACCACTGCCGCCAGACGCCCATCCTGTGCCAGCCTCAAAAGCGTGCCGTAGAGCGGGCCTCGCACCATGTCGTGCTCCTTTCCTCTCTGGATATCCACCTCCAACAGGAACCGATTGTCTCCTCCTAGCTCCTTCACTGCTCTTGACAGAGTATAACCTTCTTCTGCGCCTGCGTAGAGGTGCAACCAGAGGGGATCTCCTCCTTTCTCCAACAGCCTCCTCCTCCTCCGGTTCCAGGGTAGATGCCGAAGATCCTCTGCAGGCTCCTCCACCAACATGGCCTTCACCTTGTCGGGCACTCCCTTGAACACCGGGTGAGAATCCACCAGCTGCTGGATACTCTCCTTCTCAATCAGCGCCTGTACCAGCACTTCACCTTTATCCTTCTCTGTCTTCAGCTCCTCCAGCTCGTCGAGAAGCTTCATCGCCACGGCCCTGTCCACATAGGGGCATTCATCTCTCATAGTCACCTTCAGCTTCCCTTTTCGTGGGTGTTCCACTGAACATTCCACGCCGGACCACTCCACCTTGCACCCAAGGGCTTTGATCAACACCCCCAAGGGAATGATCGGGTCCACATCCGGGTCGTCATGGATGATGATTCCTCCCGGGCTCATTCTCATCCACCGCTCTTCACCTCCGGCAAGGGTTACTCTTACCTCGTCCATGGTGTCAAGGTCTTCCGAAGGTTTGCATCCTCTGAGTGGATGAGTGGCCCCCGAGTCCAGCAATCCACCAACGGCTCGGCTCAAACTCGACACCTGGGCCTTATTCAGCCTTGGGTCTCCTCGGATCTCGTCCAGCTGCTTCTGCAACATCTCGAGCCGATTTTCCCTTTCTTTCCCATTCTTCACACCGCTGGTCTTGTTGAGGCTCCTCAACATCTTACCCGCCTCCTCCAACACCTTGGTAACGGAGCTGGCAGCTGTCTCCTCTACCACCACCTCCTTCTTCTTCTTGTCCTTGTCATTCTCCTGGTCCACCACCGACTGAGTTTCTGCCACTCCTCTTGCCTCCTCAGCTTTGAATGGCTTCACTGCCGGTGCCGTTGTCCGTTCTCCTCCTCCAGGCTTGGAGACCTTGCGCGGGCAATCCTTCCGCATGTGCTCCGTCGACCCACAGTCCCAGCAGCGTCCTCGAGCCGTCTCGTCCGTCGGGTGCAACCAATCACATCCTCGACCTCGCCGGCAGCCGCTGTCGGACATGTAGAACCGGCAGGGGGTTTTCCCCTTTGCTCCTCCTTTTCCGTCGCCCTTCCCTTCTTTGCCTTCTTTTCCTTCCTTTCCATCGCGGCCTTCTTTGGACTCCTCCAGCTTCCGGACCTTGGTGTCTCCTCCTGCCGTGCTGGTTTTCGTCGGAGCCTTCTTCTCGCTCAAAAAGGCCGTCTGTTCCAGCTCCGCCAGCAAGTGTTCCGCATACTGCAGCACCGTCGCATGGGTCGGAACCGAGTCCACCTGCAGTGTGCTCCTCGCCAACGAAACTCGGAAAGTCAACTCCCGGTTCGCCTCCAAGACCTTCTTTGTGAGCTTCGTCAGGCCTCTCATCAAGATGCTTGAGTCCGGCAGGGTCAACCCAACGTCTCCTGCACGTCGCCGCCATCTGACCCAACGTCTCAGCCCCTTCACCGCTTCCGCCACCGATGGAGCTTCCCCTGGCTCCTCCAAATTCCTCAACACCACGGCCTTCTCCGCCAATCCTCCCGGCTGATAAGCGATCATCAGCTTGCACAGAACCGCAAACGTCGTAACGGCCTGCGACGAGATCAGCTCATCACGGATTCCTTCCGGCACCGCCTGGATCAGCATCGATACCGCTCTTCTTTCCACCCGACTCCACTTCTTCACCTTCAGGGATGTAGGTGTCTCCGGGATCATGTTCATCCGCTTGATGGGGACTTCCTGCAAGTAGCGGGCATACCATTCCTTGGCCTCGGTGACCATGAGCTGCCACCACTCAGCGCTCGAATCACTCAAATCAGCGAGGAGCGGCTCTATGATGATCATCCAGTCACCCAGATCAATGGGGCCTGACTCCGCCGTAGGTTCACTCAGCTTCGGCAGCTCAGTGATGCCAGGGCGAACCACCTCCACCGTCTCCTGATTTCCTTTCCCGGCACCACCCATCAACTGCTGTTGCATGGCCTGCATCCCCTCCAGCAGCTTCAGAATGACGTCCATCTGCTTCCCGTTCTTTCCACTGCCCGCCACCGATGCCGGCCTCAGCTCTGATGAAGATTCATCATCATCTTCATGTTCACCTCCATTGTTCTTGCCGTTGGCCATGTCCGGGTTCATGCCCTGGTCGCGCACATTCTGGCCATAGCTCACGTCCACGTTACCTCCCATCACCTCCATGGGCTTCCGGCTGTTGTCCCCACTCTTCTTGTCCTCGATGCTAAGCACCTTGCTCTTGTCCCGACTGTCCGGGGTACCATAGCTCTCTTCCACCGCCTTGCCGTTCTTCAGGCTCTCAATCTCCCTCATCAGGCACTGGTTCTGCGCCATGAGCTCGTTCACCAGCCGCATCACGTACTCCTGGTTCTCCACAGGCATTCTTGCCGCCGGCGACATCCTGCTCGTAGCGCCCGCCAGCTCCATACCCGCCTCCATAGGTTCAGGTAGATGCCGAGGTCTCTCTTGGTCCATCCGGGTGCCATGAATCAAGGGGGCTTCTCTCCGCCACCGAGTCAGGGTCTCCATCTGGGCCTCATTGACCAAGGGTTCCAGAACCACAGGGTCGCCACGTGGCCCACCTGCCCATTGTTCTTCTCCGTCTCCTTTGCCTTCTCGACCGCGGGAGCCTTCTTGAAGGGCCGTTCTTCCCGAAGTCGACCTCCTTGGCGCGTCGAGCTCCTCCGCGGATCTCTTCCCACCGGAGTTCCCCTTGCCCTTGGCGCCAACCGGCACCAGCTCCTGCCCAACCAGCTCCAGGCTCTCCTCCGCCTCTTCCGGTTCTCGCCGTCCGAGGTCTCCTGGAGACGCCATGGCTTCACCGCGTCCTCCTTGGGCTCATAACCTGTAAACCCAGGTTTCAGCTACGCGCCCTTTTTCTTGAACACAAACGGCTTCCAGGTATTCCTAGAATAATAATTCACACACCTGAGTCATAATCAAACCTGTTACTAACAGGGTCTAGCCAAATCCACGTAATAAATGTCAAGGGCGGCTGCACCTGTTTCTGGTTGGGCCTGTCTCTTACTAACCTTGATCTACCCGCGTTTTGACTGTGGCTCGCCTACTGAATTGTGAAGTCAGGAACCTTCATTATAAATCCGGCCCAAAGAGGTCGCCATCATATTGCGCCTTTCGATAGAGTTGCCGTGTTGCTTGACGTTACGCAGGCCTTCCGCATGGTCAGACACAGAACACGAGCATCAGCTAGACAAGAGGTTGCCAAGTGATTGCTAGCCACGCCTCGACACAATCTCATTTGATGTCAGCAGACAAAATCTGAAGCAAGGTAGCTGGTTGCGGATAGCCCGTTGTGGAAAGACCACAACACTCGGACTCGGACCCTTTTAGATGGAAGCCACCCATTTCAGGGTTAAACCGTCGGCAAGGATTGTAAAGATGCATATGGCTGGTTGTCCAAATGTTGGTTCCCAGTTTTGTAGCGTAAATCGCCATTCCATGGGGGCCATATCATTCGGGCCATATCAACACGTAACCATTGCGGCACAATAGGATTGACCCTTTTGGGCGACCGCCCAGGTGAAGGTCCGTGTCGATTTTTCTTGCGAGACGGACGTCCAGTGGTCCTCCTGCGTCCGGCTCCAGAAGGTTTTGCAGCCGTGGGTGGTCCAGCGCCGGATTCGGTCCGCCTCCGGGTGCAACTTTGGGACCCGTGTCTTTTGCGGCTGTGGCTCAAAAATATGGAAAACCCAATGGATACAATGGAAACACGGACCTACCTGCAGTTTTATGGTTTAGTTTTGACCCATACCCTTCAACTAGGCGGAAAACTAGTTTAGCCCTTCAAAGGCCCATCCTTCCCATGCCGCCCAAATTCCGTGGTTGGCATTGGGAAGAAGTCAGCATGAAACTCAAACTTCGCCCAGGGGCCGTCTTGTAAAATGCCAGTTCCTTCGGTTCCCGGAGTTTTCGGTGGCTGCACCGTTCGAACGCCACATTTGGGTGGCTTGAAATAGGAATTTGTCCCCTAAAATGGGACGTGCTTCCTTTTGCGGTCCTTCAAATATCAACCAAAAGGGGGTCCACCATGTTGAGTTCTGTCGCGCCTGGGAGCTGATGCCGGGGATGTCTTCCCACCAAGCCACGCGGTACCTTGGACGTGCCGCTGGTATTTCTGGATCGGAAAACCGGAGAACGGGAACCCCTAACTGCTTTTTCAGCTTCCTTTTGCCTCCATTGAAAACCATCCAAATGGGGGCGTGCCATTTTGGGACATGTTGCAAGTGGGGAACCAAGTGCTCTGAGTTACTGTTGTGGTTGACTCGCACGGATCCGATCCTCTCAACGCGAAGTACTCAGATTCCTCTCGGCGTCCAAAAGCTGGAGGCACCTCAGCTTGCACCTATAGGACCTAGACCCCTTCACGGGCTGCTGGGGTCGTCCAGACATTGCAGGAGACTCTCCTGATTCATCCACCATGACTTGCCAGGTAGGACTGACAGCCTTGCTTTGGTTGATTCAGTAAACCCACAAGAAAACAAGAAACAAGTGAGAAACAGTTGCGACAGAAGCATTGCGTCGATGCTTCCGAGCTTGGATATGAACGAAATGGCCACCTTGCTAAGATGCCATGAAACGGTTTCACAAACAGCAACCCCTGCCCAGTGTCCAAAAAAAGCCCTGGTTTCCCCCTTGTTTTCGAGAGTCGATTTTGAAGAGAAACCCCAAAACTGGGCTGAAGCAGTGAGACTGAAGCTTGCATCAAAGTCGACCCAGAGACCGGCAAAGCAAAGCTGCCATCTGGCCGCCTTTGGAACGTCCGGCCTCGCGCCTCGCCGATCTGGCTCAACTTGGGCCCCGGGCGGGGTGGTGTCCCCGTAGCCCCAGCGCCGGTCCCGGACCACGCTCGGCGACAGGCGGAAGGTCAGCTGGATCTGAGCCGCTCTCCGGATGCAAAAAATGGAACCCGCTCAGAAAAGCTATTGTTTAGTGTTTACGCTTCAGGGCTGTGGTTGTTTTTCGGTTAAAACTTGGAAAGAAACCCTCCAGTTATGTCCGCGGGCGCGGACATAACCCCCGGAAAGTGATGCAGGGAGTGTAACAAAAGCGGAAGCACACTTTTGATTACTTGTTCTGGGGACGGCATGAGCTCGTGCGCGAAGGTTGACATAGGGAAATTCAGGAGGAAAACCGTCACTACGTTCTGACCGTGGCATTCCTGTGTGGGTACAACTTCTCCAATGGTTATCGCTTTCTGGTATCGGACACACTTCCGCCATGAGAAAGCTTGGGATTCGCTCAAGATGAGTGAGTGTTTTAAGATCTTCTCCACAAGTAGCCGAAGGTGCGGACGGACTGCAGGAGTCACCATGCCCAGCATGGCCCTGAATTGGTCAAGCAGCCAAATATCATGCACGGTCGCACGTTCCTGCAGCGTGAAATTTTGCTTTTGCAGGGAGAGGAACACTTTACTCAAATCCGTATGTATGGCGACAGCGTGCGAACGGGCCAAGCAGCAAAACTAACATTCCAATGTTTGATCCGGTACATGGGCATGAGCAGAATGCACCGTCGCAAATTGTGCCATTCTGTTCAACTTTCAACATGCTGTGCCATCACCTTCCTGACACAATCGTGCAAAAAGCAACAATCCTTCAGACTCTACCTCGATGGGCGCTATCAGGGTCCAGCAGTTCAGACCCATGTGCCGAGGAGAAGGCTCCAATGAGGCCAACACGCACCCGACCGTCACCCACCCACCCCGAAGACCTCGCCTTTCCAGACACGCCCTGAGCGGAGCGAAGAAACGCATGGGCCCCAGCGGCTGCGGCTCCATGCAACACCGAACTGTGTTGCTTAGCACCAGCGCTAAGAAGCCACCAGTGAATCCAAAACAAGCTACCTGGTGGCCAACGAACAAGACCTTCCAACATGTGAGGCAAGAGCATAGCGAAGCAGGAAGGGAAGAATCTGTGCACGATCCAGTATGATCTTCTTCCAAAACTTGGCAGAAAGTTCAACACACTCACAGCCCCCGCGCCTACTTGCAGCTATGGGCAACCTCACTTAAACGTCGGACCGCCCTGGCTTTCCAGGCGTGCAACAACTTTGTGAAGCTGAAGTGCAGAGAAACACGTGTCTCTTGCAACATCTTCACAGGCCAAATAACTTGGGTCAGCAAACACTTAAAAACTTAAAACCCCGAAGATCTCAGATGGCATCACCCATCTAGGCTAAAGGCTTAAATCAGGATGACTAACAAAAACCTTGCATCTGGACAAAGTACACTCTTCAATGAAAGCCGGGCCTGGATGACCACTGGCTGCCCACAAGATCGCATCTGCACCGTGTACCTGCGCCGGTTGTCCATAGCTTCACTTTATGGGAAACTGTGGCAAACAAACAACTTGCCGTGCTAAATTTTGGGGGATTTTCAACTGCTTGTTTTCTTCTTTGGTTTCCTTCTGTCAAAACGACAACAAAACAGCCCCCAGTTTTTGACACTGTCAGAAATGCGCTATACTCATCTTGCTCCACAGGTCAAATAGGAAAGCCTCAAGCAAGGGGGGTTTGACATGTACTCACCTGCTTGAGGGTGATGTGTTTTACTTTGCCCATGGCTCCAAGCCAGAGCCACATAACTAAGAAGGGGAACAGGCGGGCCTTTCGGTCCCATATCAACCACATGTGATGTGTATATATATATATACACGGATGTGTATATATATATATATAGAGATTGTGTACATATATATATATATATATATGTATGTATGTATGTATAAATATCTCGCGACATGACCATCATTGTACAAAGGCTCGAAGGTTTTGAAACCTCATTAGCACAGCTCTGCTTTGCACAGCTCTGCGGCTTTGCTTGAGAAAGAAGAGCTGCCCTTGAGCCTCATTCGGAAATTTCGGGGTCTGAAATCGAATAGAGGGTCTGGTGTTTTTTTGTGGGAATCCAAAAACCTCAAAACGTTTGTCCTGTATTTCAGTGAAATCAGGAGTCCCCACATCATAGTGAGCTCATGTGTAGGCGGATGATACCGAGACATCCGGGGCACGGAACAGTGACGTCCGCGTTCATGCCGATCTGAGTCCCGGTGGCGTAGGTGAATGGATTGATGGGCCAGGAGATGGTGGTCATCTGGGCGCGAAAAAGTCGGCCGAAGCTCTTGAACATGTCTACATAGGTGTTTATCAAATTAGGGGCCCCCAAACCAGGGTGGCTTCCCCTTTGAATTCCCATTAAGCCAACCCCCAAGGGTACCCTCGAACAAAGACACGCCCAAAAGATTGCAAACTTCGTTGGGCTTCCCTAGGTCCCAGGGCCTGGTTGAACAACTCATAACCCCTGGCGCCAACCCTGAGAGCCACGAGCAAAACAAAACCAGACGGGCCGCCTGGAAAAAACAGAGGCTCGCTCCGATGAAACCGGCTTTTCCACCCTGCCACCTGGGATGTCCCTTCACGCAAGCACAAGGTTTCTCACTCGAGGATAGCTCAGCAATTTCCGTCACAGAAACACATTCCAGAAACCTGCGAGTGCCAACCCAAACATCGTCTGCACCTTCGCTTCATGTCAACCCAGCATGTCACTGCTATTTTCGATTGTACCCAAACTGGTTCCATCTAAGAGGTGTGTCACATCTTGACGTGCCCCTTTCAAGTGCTACTTGCGCTGCATGTTCAGGGGTGCTTCAAGAACCGCAACGTCCCTGGCAGAATCAGAAATCACAAACATTCGGAGACCCATTCGTCTTGCGCCTTGGTCATTACCTCCAAAAGCAACCCTGTGCATGAATGCCAAAAAAAACCGCTTGTTCCTCAGGTTCCAAAGCAACCCTGCATCTGAAATCCCAAACCAATCCCATCCTACCGGCGCTCGACCGCTGCGCTGCTTTTGCTGTGCCGCGAGACCTCGCAGCCGAGGCACGGTGATGGTCTGCAGGAAGCCTTCCTGGGCCTCTTGGCATTGGATGGCCTCGGCTTCGTGTCCCATGGGTCGCAGGGTGTGGCTTAACATAGGCGTCTATTTGCGTTTTCGCCCTGGAAAAATGAGGAAAAATATGTCCAGTGGTGAAATTGATTCCCCTTAAAACCAGGGGCAATTGCTAATTCCAGCAAATGGAAGGAGTGAAGAGAACTTGTTCTTTGGGGGTCCATCATTATGGAGCTCATAGGAATCCAACTGTGTGCTACAGAGATCTGTGACGCAATTAACTCAGAGTTGGAAAGCCTTTCCTCAGGGTCAGCGGTACAGAGCCAATGATATTTGTATTTCCAACATATGAGAACCGCCCCAGAATGGGTCGTTTTCATTTGACATGCCCCAAGCAAGCCGAGCAAATTGGCCAAACCAGACCCGCACAAAAGGGAGGCCGTGCCAAAGTCTTTGGAGCCTTCCTCTTCTTGCTGGTGCTCAGTAGGGAATCAGGGAATGAGCCTGGGCATTTCCTTAAAGGAACCCACCAGCTGGATGTTTTCTTTGGGGTCATTCTACTCCCTCATTCCCTGCACCTCTCGCACCAGGTCTTGGATCCATGGACCAAGGCGCGTTGGGGTCTGCCTGGATGCCCTCCTCGCCGGCCCAGTCCACACCCATGAAGCCCGGTGGCCCCAAGCCTCTCGAGGCTCGGCTCAGCACCGGTCGTGCCGACCCCATACTGTGGATGGTTTCCAGGGTATCAAAGTGGGGCAGGAATTTGTCCATCCTCAGTGTGGCTGTGGGTCAAACATGGGGTGACCCCAAAATGGGTTGCCCTGGTAAATGGAAAGGACTAAAACCTGCGGTCCGTATCCTGGTGGTTAAAGTTTGACCCATACCCATATTGCTGGGCTGCCCTCAGATCCCCTGCCGAAAGTTGATTTTGTTGTTTTTCGTGTGGAAACCCCCACTAAACCCTAAAAAGGCTAAGAAGCTAAGGGGATGGCTGGGAGCCACCCAAGATTGGTCAGCCCCGTCTATTAACAGGGGCCGGGGGCCCCTCCAACAGTGATGATTCCTCACTAAACCCAGGAATGAACCGGGGTTGATTAATATGGGGTCAACATTCAGCTGGGCAAGTGATTTGATTTGTGGCAGCTGAGGAATCGTTGTGCCGTTTTCCCCAAAGTTCCAAGGCTTAGGTCAAAAGAACAACCCAACCTGAACCGTACTGGAGGGAACGACTCAAGGAGTGACTTACTTGTGGCTGTTGCAAGCTTTGCCTCTTGGATGAAGAACCTATGATGAAGGCATGCAGTAAAATTTAGTTTTTGGGCTGTTAAATTGCATACCCTGCCTGCGACGTTGATCTGAGGGTAGACCCAGCCTCAGCAGCATGTCGCCCTTCCTCTCCAATGAAGGACCAAAAAAGACTGTACATCCTCAAACTGATATCATAAATCAACTGGGATCGTGCAAATCGAGGCTCAATCCAAACTTTAGGCCTCCCAATCACAAGTTTTGGCCTCTTTGTTCTGTGGACAAGGTGCTGCCGGAAGGAGCTTGGTTACACAAATGGGTTCTCATTTCAAATGGAAGGGCTCGCTAGCCTTCAGACAAGCTCTGCGTTGACCTTGGACCTTCTGTCTCCACCAGTCCTGGTCTTCAAGACACATGGGGCCTGGGGGGGGGAGGGAGGGGAGGGAGCCCAAATAAGCTTAATAGGGCCTTTCAGGGAGCTTAAGAGCTACGTGGTGCTCCATCCCCCCAGGCTGCATTGGATTAATCTGACCCAACCTGCAACTAATCACAAAGCCTTCATTTCCTTTTGGCTTCCTTCAAAAAACCACCAAAAAATACCAAGCGAAGCGCACAGGGACAAGCGATAGGCTAGCTGACATCTGTTGCACGCAAAAGGCTTTCGCTTTATTTGCTCTCGTTGAGAGAGGGAGTAGACTCAGGAGCATCAAGTCCCGTCCAGAACAGGCAACGGCCTTCTGGCCACCGAAACCAGACCCCCTGCATTCGTCAAGTATCGAAAGGCTTGCCCTCTCTTGGGACGGTAGGGCATAGTCGGCGAGGCCACTTTGACTCAACCCCCATTGAGGAAACATACTCATCTCAAGACCTTTGCCTGGCTGCCGGAGTCTAGCCAACTGCCAGTGAACCGCTCGCTTTGCGCCTTTTGGCGCCGACTCAACTGTCCCAAATGGAGGCTATCCTTTTGGTCTCGCTTTAAAACAACCCAAACACACAACCCCATCTGGGGGTTCATCAATATGTTTGTTCAGCCCCCAAATGACCATGGGTAGCTTTAGTGGGGAAAGTCAATTTTTTTGGTGGCTTCCCTGATGGTCATCCCATGTCCATCCGACCTTTTGATCAACCCCCAGGTCTTTGCGAGATGGATCGCTCCGAAGCCCAAAGAAAAAGCTGAGCATGTTGCGCTGCATGCTCTGGTAGTCCGGCTGCGTTTGAACCTTGGGGCTGCTCCGTGCGGAGGGATGTAGGGATGTAAGAAAAAGTCCGTTTAGTTCACAAGCGAGCAACTGTTTTCCTCAAATAATACACTCGCAGGATCTAAAGACTCAACTGAAATAGCTGTCTCCGCAAAACGCGTGTTTACTCCTTGCAGAGTCCGAACTGCAAGGCCTCATCTGAAGGGTGTTCTGCAGGGGCCAGTAAGTTCCACTCTGCTTATTTATCTGAAATCTTCCACAGAGAGTTGGCCATGCGTAACGAGGAAACATCTTTTTTCCGAGGTTCTTGCCTGGCAGTGTTTTGCTGCTTTTGCCGAAGAAAATCGGATCCTTCGGATCTTGGAGGTTTTCTGGTGGCTTTCTGTACTGTCTAATTTGGACTTATTTAGTATGTCACCCTTTACTCTAGTCTTCTGCAAATATAGGCAGTCGCTGATCTGGGAGCTATAATCAAAACGCCTTGTGACACCCAATGACATCGGAAGATTGGGTAGGCATGATGTTCGTTCGGATATCGGGTGGGCCCAACTTCCTTGTCCAGGGATGCGGGGAAGCAGGAAGCGCGGAATCCATAATAAAGCAGCATAGCAGAAAATGGCAGTAGGAAAACTTGCTAGTGCCCAGCAGGGACTGAGGGAATGACCCCTACCCTCATTCACTGCCTATCGCGCCTCCCTTTAAAAGGAAAAAAGGAAAACGGTCCAAACCAGGACCTTCCCGGCTGGTTTTGAGCCACAGCCAGCAGGCTTCCCCCGGCATGGTGATTTCTTCCCCCCGGCACCTTTTCGCCGCTCTTTGCTGCCAAAAGGCGCCCTCCTGGATGATGTCAATCAGCGGCTTCTTGATGATGGTCACGACGAGATCCCCACCTCCAAAGTGTGGAGTGGGTCACCGGGTCCGGATGATTTTTTGGGCTGCTGCTGTTGGCTAGGGAATGACGGGTGCTGGGAATGAACCGGAAGGGGGTTCCCTGAAAGGCAGCCATAGGCGATGGTTCATAGGGGTCATTCCAAGTCTCATTCCCTGTTGAGAGCCAGCAAGTTGCATTTGTTGTTTTTCTTAGGAAGCCTTCAGCCTCAGGCAGGCCTCGGATTAGCCTCCCTCAAAAGGCAGCTTCATTCGACCCTGACGCACAAACTCCACTTTGCACCAGTTGGCAGGTGATTTATCCAAGAAACCTCGGATTCGCAGGTTCTCATCCATCCCAAATGGTGCGGGATCTTGTCCATCCACAATAGGCAACCAAAAACATCAGGTATCCAGACCCCAGTCCAGTGCTTCCAAGGGGGAGCCCCATGCAAAGAGAGGCAACCCCGGCGACCTCGCGAGAGTCCTCTTGCGTGTTGAAGGCCACCAATCTGGTCCAAAAAGGACCGCTCTCCGTGCCCTTTCTCAGCTTTGTCTTCGAGGCGACAGATCTGGTGGCACACGCACACCTGATCAACAAAACTTGAAGATATGTTACACCCGCTTCCTGTTCCGCCATCCACCTCTCATTGTGACCCCAAATAGCTTCCGGCAAATAGGCCCCAGCGTCATGGGCACGCGAGCTCCGGTCAAACGCGTGTTGTTACACCAAAGAAAAAGGGAAACAAGCGAGTTCTCCTGGCTTTCGTGCTTTGAATTTCCTTAAATGACCATGCGCACCGTGACGGGCTCAGCTGGATTTGGCAAGCCGCCCCGCCTACCGAGTTCAGGAACTCAGCATTGGGCATCGCCTGAGCTGTGTTTCACCCCTCT